CCAGGAGAGGAAGGAAAGAGCAATCGTTTGATACCTCACTCGATGACGAGCGTCGTTCTGGTCCCGATCGTCGAAGAGAAGTGCTCTAATTTATTTTCGTCGTAACTATTGTTGTATGTTATAGTGTAGCCGTTTTCCTGCTCCCAGAGAAGCGTCCCTGGAGTTTTCCCGTGCTTACTCGGAGTTTTCCTGGTTGGCCCAAGGCTTCGACCATCCGATAAACATAAATTCGTGAGCGGAAGTTCGTACATTTTTTTGGAAGTTCGTGGAGATGTTTGTGCACTTTTTGTGATTTTAGGGCTCAATGTATGGTCCTCTGCATATCCTGGCATCTGTATGTTGGGTCGTTGGCCAAAAATTTGCTGATTAGCCTTGTACTACTAGATACTTTGCATCTGAGCATGAAAATGGCCTCAAGGGCATGGGAATGATATTTCGGAGGACTTCAACGCCATCATGCCGCTGCGACTGTCACGCACAATTGTGATACGTGGCAGCCGCACTACCAAGCAGTGATAGCTGTGCCTTGTGTTAAGTTTGAGTACATGTACAACATGCCTTGGAAACTACCACACAATCAAACGCATGCACAGCACGAGTCCGGAGCTGCCGAGTCCTGGAAGACGCTCGCACCACGATCTGGTGGTAGCGGCATAGCACAATAGAACGCACACAGCACACTACCATGACTACTACGTCAAGCCACAACTGACGACCGTTACGTGCCTACAACCGGTAATCACTACAATAATTATTATTATGTACATGCCATCAATTATATATTCACAGCCTACGGCACAACTTCCGATGAGAAATATATCACAATATGAAGAGAACATATTTAGCAGGGAGGTAAACTGGGTGTAACTCCAGCCACACAACACAGGCATAAGTCACAGCAAAAGCAAGAGAGGATTTTTCTGCAATTACAGTCATGGCTGCACACGCACACATACGCAACGCGCACGCTCGGGCGTGCGCAAACACACACGGCAATAAGGGAAATGGCCACATACGTAGTGTAGGACTACCACTCAACAATGGAGAAAGCGCATAATTCAACTTCAAAAGTTCAGTTGAGGACTGTGTTTTTCTTGGGTCAGACTCATCCAAGAAAAGACAATGCACTGAGCTACCAATAACTATGGAGTGTCGGGATTAAGTGGCGTACGGCTATGCTTACACACTGCCACTGTCCAAAGAAGGTGGTGGACATGCTGCCTGTTGACGTGTCAGATGAGGGGAAACAGTCACGCACCTTGCTGACCCTCAGGGCTGACCATAGCGCTTTCGTTGCTGCTGGTTCCCAATTGTCGGTTGCGACGCCGCGTAACAGCGTTATTCCGGTCCTGATTCTGCTGGTCGAGATCTGCCACACCGTTGCGCCAGTGTTGCATCTAGACCTGGGGATCCATTCCTGGATCTACGCTGCATCAATGCTGGTAGAGATCCGCCAGCTCGATAAGTGCTTGATCTGCACAACACCAGCCGCATCCAACGGCAACAGCAACGGGCAGTACACAGCATTGGTCACACTACATGCCAAGCTGCAGCAATGCATAGCCGGCGCAAAAGCAGCCAAGCAGAAGGCCACACGCATTGAAGGCTGGTTCGGCTACTCGCGTAGCTCTGCAAGGCCATGAGCAGTGCATCGCCGGCGGCGTTTCGGAGGTTGTGCCCACAACTTGATTCAGCAGGAGTTGCAGGCAGCATTGCATGATCAGACTGGCAATATCAGGTGACTGTTCGTTGCTGACTCTTCTGCTCACTCCCACGGTACCGTTATAACTACAAGGTAGCTCATCCATACAGCTAGTAGTACTGTGCCGCGGTGCTCTTACGTCGTTGAATAATACTAATCCTAACCGTTCGAACCCTCGTCGGATTTTTTCCCAGTGGCTGCCGTATTCTGAGCGTCATTATGTCTTTCTCCAACGAAACCACTGTCTAGAAATTCAGCCTTGCACTTTTTTCTTCATTTCCATTGTGTTGAGGACATCGCAGAGCTCAGCAGCAACATCGAGCATTTCCCTAAGGTCATGCAAGCCTTGTGACGAGATCGTGAAAAGAAACAAACGGCACCTCATCCCTAAGTTGCACCTATTAGAGATGCACGCCGTGCCAGCTATGGTTCGACTCCTTGTTGGCCTTGGCTTGCTAGGTGAGGAAGGCTCGGAGAGCATCCATGCGGACTCTCAACTCGGACTCTGGAGAAGCGTTTCTCGCAGATTCCTGCGCCCATTCCTGCGCCCATGAAACGGCTCGAAGCAACACAGCGCCTAGCAAGAACGCTGCCCATGTCCAGGCCCCTCGGCGTAGCCGTAGCTAAGGCATGGAGGAAAACGGCAGCCGTTACTATCCTTCTCCTTGGGCTAGCTCACTCCATAGTGACTAAGTCATTGAGTACTCTGCTTCTTCTTCGTTTATTTGTTTCATTTTGCTTGCTTGCATGATCTTCGCGATCGATTGCGTCTGAGGACTCCCAAACTCCATTTACCTAAGGTTACCTACTTGATTCTGCTTGATTCGAGAAGGAATCACCTGAAACCACACGAAGTTCATAAACCAAACGTGTAAAGTGTAAGTTTGCGATTTACCAGTTAATTCGCCGCCATTTTGATAGATGGCCGCAGATGAACAGCCGTGATTACACCATTCAACGATATCAGGTGAAAACAGATGCGATAAATTCACCACTAGAAAGTTACCATGCAACCACAAACGAGAACTACTGATCTAAATTCACAAACAATTTCAACGTAAACAAATTCTTTTTCCACGGTGGTATCTTTCCGGTTTCTACCCTAATTTGGTCAGGAAAATATCCCACCCTACTTTACCAAACAATAATTATTTGCACTGAAATTTATTTCGAACACGCTAGAGTCCGGTGACAACAGCCGCCTAAATTCTTTGGGCACCTCTTTCCCAGTTTTCCCAGTGTCTGCCCCAGCGCCGGGTGAGCCGGGTAATCCACCCGGTTGGGCGGCACTTGGACTTGGACACTTGGAAAATATAGTACCGGGTCACCTGTGACCCGGTTAGTACTTTACACTTTCGAACTTTGAAGGGACTGACTACATGGCTTGTATGTGTCAGATACTTCTTTTTCTTCTTTCGTAATTTTCTAATTCCTGTCCTCTCTTTTCTAAACGCAGTTTATCCATTCGCCTTTATATCATTGGGCCTAGTTCCCGTTTATTGTCCGAATTAAAATAAACCAACCAACCAGTTAAAGCATGTGACTCGGCTGGTGAGACAGCGCCAGGTACATGTGTATGAAATGGCTGCGCCAGGTACACGTGTACCCGGCTGTCCTACAATCCTAGAGCAGACACTGCTTTACATATGTGTTCCGTCTCCACACTCGGCCATCTTACCCTTCGTTCCAACAGATAGTCTTGCCATGGGCAGGAGATTGACCGTCACACCATTGTTTCGTTTGGGAACACCGTCCGTCAGACCAGTAACTCCTGGAACGTTTAATACTGGGCCGCAACTCAACACTGGCTCCACACACACATTCAATCAGCACCTGAGCCTGAGGACACAACACATTCGGTCCGCAGCCTGCCAGCTAATCTGGCTGTTCTTCAAAATAATGGCTTCACACTGCTCTCGGTCCCATGACACGCTACTACCGGACAACAACGGAGTAAACCGCTGTATTTGACCGCTGAACCTACTGCTGTCGAACAGGGACCGAAGGCTTGGAAGCACAAAGAAGTGTCGCTGCAAAAATGCAAAACCAGGGAGCCGTGAAAGGGTTTTGAATTAAGATAACTCTCTGCTTCAAACTAGGAAAACCAACGAGCAAAGAAAAAACAGAGAGACTGACTCATGGAGTCATGCGCCTGTCTGTTGTTGGTGTTGAGCCGCGAAAACCGAGCTACGAGTCCGAGTCACGAGTGTGACCTTGGCAGGGCCTGCTCCTGGTCTGGCTGATGCATGTAGTGTTGTCATGTATGATGTAACGGGCAAAAGCACACCCCCTCTCCGTCTCACACACACGCACACACACACACACCTTTGACGCCCATCGCCAGAGGCGATGATAGCGGTGCTACAGCAAAAGCCATAGCAACTTGTGCTGGGATTGCACCATTCAACAGCTTGCAAGGCTGAAGGATTTACCGCCACTATTCAGCCTGGTCTACCATGGTCTACGCCACACAGCTAAATGAAGTGGCTTTTCTGGCCAGTGAATCCCTACTTTTAGGTCTTTTCTATTTTTTTCCCCGCACACATATCACACCACATACCCCGGCATGCACTGGCTGTTGGTAACCACCCAGGAGAATGAAAGGAAAGTCAGGAGCAGTCTGAGAAAGAGAAGAAAGACGTGTGACCATAATCCTCGGAAATTGCTGCACATACCACTGCACCATATGGCCATATATTATGGGACACACACACACACACACACACACACACACACACACACACACACACCTTTTGGACCTTTTGACGCTCATCGCCGGAGGCGATGATAGCGATGCTACAGCAGAAGCCATAGCAGCTTGTGCTGGGATTACACCATTCACACACACACACACACACACACGCATGCATCCTTCCTTCTTCCACTGCCATGACTGGCTATGTGGCCCCATACGGGGCAGACCAGGAGACGTGTTGTCCACCGGGCGGGGAACGCCATACTCAGCGCGCGCGGGCCGCGCGAACAGCGTTACACTTGTGCCTCGCAATATCCTGCGGCCGACGAAAACTGCGCGCACAAGTGCCACAGATGAGGGGCTTCGCCACAGGCCCCATGCGGGACTGGACAATAGCGTCGACAGCATCACGGCAGGTGACCCGCCATCCCTGTCGATCTTGGACGATGTCACCAAGCTGCTCCAGAGGAACGCCAACGTACACACATATACACACGCACACCTGCTAACGCCTGTCATCTGGAAGCCTTTGAAACAGAGAAAACACAAATCTCGCACGCGCACGCATGTGCGCAAGCACACAAACCCAATGACTCACAACGATTCAGGAAGCTCTGAACAGAACGTGCATTGACAGCTCGACAGAGCACGAAGACAAAATAAGCAGAATAGCTGTGGTACATACAAACAAAGAGAAGTGGACAGATGTAATATAATCAGTTGTACCATGATAGCGTGCACCCATGATTATATCTGCCAATAACCATAATGAGAACAACGTTAGTCAATTCAAACTGCCTAAGGAAGAAAAAAAACCCATAGATAATGCTTCATCTTTTCGGGAAAATAAATAAATAAATATCTAATTAAATCTCTCTAGGGAATGCAGCGTAAACGCGCTGAGCGTGCGTGCAAATTTCTACAGGGATTAGCTCTCATGGAGAGCAGTACTAACGCTGCACTGTGTGTGTGAACGGCTAGTACAGCGTGGTGGAAATTACGGAATAGGATCAAGTCTTGAACATTGATGTGCAAGAAGTGTGTTACGAACGGGACCAAGGACACGGATGCTGCAAGAAGAGACTTGGAAAGAAGAAAGAGATGAGCATGCCATTATCAAGGGAAAGAAGGGGCTGCGTATAGGCAACGTGCAACACGTACGAAGCAGCCGCAGGAAACAGGACGCATGCCCTATAGCAGATGGGTGCAAACAAACAAGACTAATCTACATATCTACTGAAACATGACAGAGAAAAGGAGAGAGAGAGAGAGAGAGAGAGAGAGAGAGAGAGAGAGAGAGAGAGAGAAAGAGAGAGAGAGAGAGAGAAAGAGAAAGAGAGGATGGGGCCGACTTGCTGCAGCACATGACAATACGGAAGGAGACATACACAAGACAGGTTAATGAACTTTGAACAGGGAGGGCAGTCTGCAGAACGTCAAAGATTCTCACTTTCACAACGAACTACTTCCAATACAACCATGGAACTACTGGTGGTGGGTGGCTGGTAGAAAGTGTGCACGGCAGCCTGCAACAGCCAAGTGAAAGTGGTAGGTCACGTAACGTTCTGGCAACGTCTCAATCAACTCGACGTAGATGTCGTTCACGAGGCTAGAAAACTGGATCCAAACTGTCAACAATTGGGAGTTACGTATTTGGAGAAGACATTATGATCGTCAAGCTACCCAGTCTTGCACTGAATCTAATCTGCATACACACAACCTGTGCCGCTTGCAGCCTGTCTTTGACCAAAATGGGGTATGAGGAACACATCACCCACCACAAGCGTACCAGCCATATCCGGCGCACACACATAACTATCAACGTAGAGCAAGAGATTCAGCCGCGCCCGGGCAAGGCTTGATAACACGTACTGGTATGGATCCAGAGAGCAGCTGTGCTAGTCAATCTAGCGCGGTAGAGGCTGTCACACGCAACGGAACCTAGACTGGCAGCAGCTTAACACCAGTCGTCAACTTCCGTCGGAAGGCGATCACGAAACATACAAGGACTGGTGGGTGGGTCTACGTCGGTAAACTCATTTGCCATTACAGAGGAAGAATGAGAGAGAGAGAGAGAGAGAGAGAAAGAGAGAGAGAGAGAAAGAAAGAGATATTAAGGATACGGTTCTAGTGACGCTACGTGTGTGCATATGGCGTTCAACCTGGCACATCGTCAGCCAAGCTAGCCAAATGGGAGCGCTCTAACGATGGCGGCGGAGCGGGAAACGACATAGTGTTGTTGTTGTCGGCGGAGAATGGTGAGGAAGGAAGTGCAGTCGAGCTGAGAAACTGGTCATCGCGTAGCACCTTCTGATTGGTTATGACCATGGGAAGTTGTACACTAGCGCCCACGGAGCTGCTCAGCGTCGTCAGCGAGCCGGGTGTTGAGCCAAACACGCTGTCGGGCAGTGTGTCGGTACGCGACGAGCAGGACTGCATGGGTGCTGCTAACGCCCCCGCGCACGTGCTCAGGTTCAGGCTACTGTTGCAATCCAGCAGCTGCATGTCGGACAGGCTGCTGTTGGAGGTCTTGCTCTGCAGCGAGCGTAGAGACGGCCCCGACGGCATGGCCAGTGGTGCACATGATTCGGTCTCCGCTGGCGGCGGCGGTGGTAGATCACCCACAAATGGTGGTGACACCGCATCGACTGGATGAGTTCCACTATTGTGTCCTTGCCGAGTCTGGCATTCGCCAAGCATCTCACTAGTACTATTGGGGTTGGGCGTCAGGATGTCCGTGTACGGCGTTGGATCATTATCCGCCGCCGATAGTTCAGCTGCAAATCCGGGGCCCATCTCTTGTGGTGGTGGTGGCAACGAGATGGCGTCGGGATCCATCAGCGAAGCCGTTTGAGCACTTGTCAGGATGTCCGTGTACGGCGTTGGACAATTATCCGCCGCCGATAGTTCAGTTGCAGATCCGGGGCCCATCTCTTGTGGTGGTGGTGGCAACGAGATGGCGTCGGGATCCATCAGTGGAGCCGTTTGAGCACTGCTCACGCTCCAGCGCAACATTCCGCCGAACATGGGAGAATTGGGAGGCGATGGTAATGAGAAGTCTGTTGTCATGGCTGGTGTGGGCTCCCCCCCTGGCTCCAGGCTAAGCTCAAGTACTGGTTGCTGTTGCTTTTCCTCCGCTTCTTCAATGCGGGCCTTTCTAGTGGTGGCCGGTGGGAGTGTCGGTGGTGCTTCATCAGGATCAGTGGATGGAGTGTCGGCCGAGATGGAGGATCGCGATGAACTGCGTCTGCGCTGTGTGATCTTCACTTTGGAATAGTTTGCAGTCACTCTGGTACTGGTCGGTGCCCCCAAAGAACTCTCCTTTTTCACTTTCGGGTGGCTGTTTCCTAATTTCTGTTCGGCATTCTCCAAGTCTTGGAGGGTCGAGTAGCCGGCTAGAGGTACAGGCTCAATGGTGGAGGAGATGACAGGTTGTGACGACGGCATTGGCATAAGGTCATCTTCCTCGATGGTGACCGCTCCCTTGAGCGGAGGCGCATGGGACTGTTGAGGCGTGGCGGTTGGCTCAGTCTCCGGTGCTGCTGAGCTCTGGCTGGGTGATTGTTGAGCGTGCAGAGAGCTGCTGCCAACCGGACGTGAAGCAGCAGATGCCTGCACGCTGCTGTTGCTTGCCCGCCTGGGCGCACAGGTGCCTACGGTGTTGGAAGTGACCTGGCCAGAGCTGCTGCTGACTGAGTTGCAAGCTGGCTGACTCGAGGCAGAGCCAAGCCTAGCGAAGGCACCGGCAAGGCTCGAGACGGAGCTAGCTGCGGGTGCCGTCTGAAGCGATGTGGAGCTTGTGGATTGCCCGGTGCGGGATTTTGTTGGAGATTGATCGCGGCGGGCCTTGTCACCTGTACTATCAGCTGTACCGGGCTCAACAACTGGGGCCTCAGCTAGATCAACACTGGCATGGCGTACGGCTTTCTTGAAGAGAGCATTCTTGGTCAGTTCGTTCACTTCAGTGCTGGCGTCTTTCTCGGACTTCTCGTCTTTCTCAGCCTTCTCTAATGCAGCCGCCTGAGCCTGCTGCTTACGTTTGTTGGCCATGCGTTGCCGAACCTCGGCCAGCGGACTGACAGCGCCCGCGGTGTGCGTGCGCGAGCGGTTAGAAGCAAAGCTGGCCGTGCGAGCCCGTCTGGCGCTGTCGTCGAGAGTGCTGCTGCCGTTGTCGGTGTCAACCGAGTCGATGGTGACTTCTACGCTGCGCAGTTTGATCGTCTCGAGGCCGGTGATGCCGACGCTGACAGCACCAGCCGGGCGCCGTATCTGGCCACCGGCCGAGGTGGAGGACACCGTCTTGCCTACCTCCTTGTGCGCCTTTGTCGCCTTCTTGCCTTTCTTGCCCGTCTCTCCTGCAGCAGCTGCGTCCGCTGGGCTCTCCTCCGCCTCTTGGACTTTCATCTGCTGCTTGAGGAAGACTTTGTTGTTCAGTAGCTCGTTGCCGGCATTCACTGGCTCTGAGCTATGTTTGCCTTGCACAGTTTTGCTTCGACGCAGGAAACCTTTCTTGTCCGGTTTGCTATTGTCCTTGGAGTTTTCCTTGCTCAGCTTCTCTTTCTCCTTTTCCCCGGCGCTCCTCTTGCCGAATATCGCCCGACGCTTTCCTTTCTTGCCGGGCGTGGACGGCTCACTGCTGTCGGATTTCATTTCACTGATGCTTCCGAGACTGGCAGTGGCGGCCAGGGGCGGTCGGTTATTTGCCGCAGGTTCTTGCTCGTGCTCCGACTGGGCTTTGCTGGCTGCCGCTTCACCCCAGAGAACAGCCGGCGAAGGGATGGAGTGGTCGCTGGACTTTTCCGACGCGCTCTTGGCAAGCTTGGACTTGAAAGGGTTTTTGGCGGCACTTTTGGACGGCGTTGTTTGCGTGCTGCTAGCGTTACTATCAAGCTGAGTGTCATTAGAAGTCGTGGCCGATAGCAAAGAAGAATTCGACTGTCTTGTATCTACTGTTGTTGCCTTTGCCACTGATGTATTACTTGCAGAAGCCGACACATCTGCTTTTTCTGCTGCGGCCGCTGTTTCGGAGTGTTGCGGCTCAGTAGACTCCGTACTAGTACTGGCGGCTGCCGTTTCAATTGCTGCTGCTGCTGCTGCTGCACTGTTCTCGATGATGCCACCGGCGGATTCAGGCACTGGCGCCTCTGCTGTAGCTGCTACTGATGCTGTGGAAGCTACTCCTGTCATTGTTCCGTCTGACATGGGAGTGCCCTCCTTTGCACCGTTCAGCTGCGTTTCTGATCCTTGATTGCTGGCCATTCTTGCAGAGGCCTGGGAATCTTTCTTCTCGGCCCGTGCTGGGGCCGCATGCGACTCCGTGACTGTCGTTTGTGCGCGACGGAATGTTTTTCGAAGCTTGCGAAACTGGTCGGATCCGGAGTAAGTCCTACCGCGAGGACCACTGTTTCCGGAGGGTGCCTGCGAGGCTTCATCTTCGGCTCTGCTTCTGGCTACAGCCGCTTTGTCGATTGTTGTCCGACCCCGCTTCAGCGACTTTCTCAGCCTATTCATGCTGTCCGACGTTAGCGCAGAAACCGGCGAAAGTTTGGCGTCCTGCAAGGGAAATCGGAACACGCAAGAAGTAGACACACAGATGAGCACGAGCTCACATATTAAACCTGTTCGAGCCACCATTCCGTTGCAGCTACCGCAGTGTTTGTACGACTGCACCTGTGTGGCAGGAATTGTGTGGGATATGCGCCAATGGTCACCCAGGTTTAAGAGACCACGGGTCTCAGTGCCAATGACGAGATATCTTGTCAAGAAACAATCACCCTGAGTGAACAATGACAATAATTATAACTCGTCATGCATACAGAATACACACAGTACATAGAAACGGGTATAGACCCTGTAAAAACCGCCACACTTTCAGCCTCTCATTTCAAAAATCAAAAGCTAAGTTTATGCACCAAAAACTTAGAGATCGTGTCAGTACTCTAAGGGCCCTTACTCACTACGTAGAAAACCGCTTTTTTGTTGCGTTCCTGTAAAAGTTGCCATGTCGACTGACGTCATATGGCGCGAAATCTAAAAAGTTGCGTAAACGTTTTACTCCGATCTCGGACGGGTGTAGAAGGCTGCTTTATAGCTTTATAGCTTTTTAGCTTTTACGCCTTCCCGTGCTTTCGGACTTCAACTTCTTGTTGGTGTTTTTGCTGTTTGGTGCTGTGTGGATTTCCGTGTTTCAATTTCAGCTGTCCATTGGACTTTTCGCCTGCTTCTGAAATTCTCATACTTGAACTCGTGTTGTTCAAGCCGTAGTAGACTCGATCTTGATTTGGCTCAGCAAGGAAACAAGATCGAGTCTACTACGGCTTGAACAAGCCGCAACAGCATGCTGAACATCGTTGTGACCATGAAATTTGAGCAACTGTGATCATTCATCTTGAAAATATCAAGAACAGGACCGCCATCAGACGACTTCACTAGCTTCTGCAGGTCCTGCAACATCATGGCGGCAACAGTTTTACGTCGCCGCTTTCTCCTTGCCGGAGTCAACCTGAGGTCCATGGGTATGGTTCGAACACGAAAGACGCAGAACGAAATCGAAGAAGAACACACAGCACTCGTTCTGAGAGCAGAACTTTTCATCCGAACTGCACTACATTTTCTTGTTGAATTTCCCGGCACCACAAGGCTGCCATGGCAATGAATACGTAAAAAGCAGATCACCTGTCAGTGTGCAACTGCACTTGATCAGGCTGGCGCATACGCAACGTATGCTCAAGTTAGTTGCGTTTTACATGTACGTAGTGTGTAAGGGCCCTAACGAATCGTGCAAAACGGATGTGCTAGTACCAGAGACGGCACACCATGAGCAAAGCGACATAGTTACATCACTGTCGGTGCTCAGTTCCTTCATACAGCTGTTTCAAATATCAAACTCTCGTCAGTGCAGGTTGATGTTGTAGAAGCTGTGCGAAGGAACTCAGTACCAACAGAAGTGTTGCTTTGCGGATTGTGTACTGTGGCAACGTGTCGGGGTCGGTCGGAGAGCGCAGTTGTGGTGCGGCGGTTGATGAGAAAAAATCCACAATTTCTGCTAGATTCGTTAGAGTACGGTCGCAGTTTCAAAAATTTGGGTGCAACTCCGGTTCCGCAAGAAAGCTGGTTTCAAACCACAAAAAATGGAATTTTGATGTTCAGCAGTGCACAGATCTTGCTGCATGATGCACATCTGGCCCCTAGAAAAGACACCGTAAATGCATACTCTTACTTTTGGACTCTTGGTACAACTCGCACAAATACACATGTCCCAGGTACAACTGTGACCAAAAGTAGAGACTGATTCTATTTACATTTTTTAGTTCAGTTGACTGGAGGCCGGTCAAGGCCTGTATGGGACTGTCCGCTTGGAAAAACGCGATTCCGCGGCCGCGGCAAATTTCGCAGAAGTTGCCATCATCCGCGGAAATCACGGAATCCACACTTTTGCCCGCGGAATCTGAATTTTTTTGGGTAAATTACTAAAATTACTACTCAGAAAGCAGCAGAAAAACTACTTTGCCATCTGTTTGAGCACATTTCTCTTGCCAGTACAGGTCTCTCCAAGATTCTTCACTCTTATTCAGTTTGTGACTGCAAAGGATAGAAAAGTGCTCCTTTATGCGAATAGTTGTCATATCCTCTACGAGGAGGGTGAAAAACTTGCAGAAAGTGCAGCAGATTTTTGATTTTACCGCAGAAAATGCCGCAGAAAACCCCCCTTTTCCCCGCGGAATTTGCCGCGGAATTTTGAATTCTTTGCCGCGTTTTTCCAAAGGGACAGATGGGACAACTCAGGCCAAACACCAAAAATGGAAGGCAGGCTGAAGGGTACATCCCGTATATGGGGCAATTGGGAGAAATTGGGAGGCTTCGGGTGGGTAAAACATTGCAAGCGCCTACAATGGCCATATGGGGACACCCCGGGCCAAAGTCCCATAATGGAAGGCAGTTGAAGGGCACCGCCCATTTGTGGAACTGCCAGTCAAATAGTCAAGCTATTAGCCGGTCTGTCAGTCAGCTAGGCCTGGCAGTTTTCAGTGGCAAACTACTTCAATGCTATAAGTACTACTCTGACCACAGGTTCCTACAAAAACCCGTACCCCCAGTCTAGTCTGCCACCTTTGTACAATTCCTTTCGATTTTGGTCTCAGCTGCAGCGCTTCGACTCCGACGTGACAAAACCAATGAGAATCAGTGTCCCCGCGTCAAGCTCCTGAGCAAAAAAGCACGGTCGATTCTTGTTTTTCCATAGCGGCGCCAAACCTCAAATTCTCTGCCGTGGCATTATCAATCAGTTGGTGGTCAGCTAATGGCCAGTGTCGCTAGCTAGCTGTCAGCAAGTGCTCAGCCAGTAAGCCAGTCCAGCACCAGTCTGCTTGTCAGGCTCCAATCAGTCACAACGGTATAAGCCCATCGCGCAGTGGCGTAATTTGTACCGCCGACACCCCACACAACCACCTGGGCACGGTTTTGTGGGAACAGTGCTGATCCCGACATACTCACACACCCCATATTTGGCTCTGCACAATCGGCTTATTGACTGTACCAATCTTTGCCCAAGCCATGTATCCCGTAAAAAGCACACTGATTTGAGCTCTAAAATTTGAAAAAACTTATGCGGAGCCACCTTCTAGCGCAAGAGAAATAAATATGTACTTCAAATGGCTGCTCGTACTATCCTAAAACACCTTGCGATGCCTCCAGCCCCTAGTGTGTATGCACAAGACACCCACCCACACACGCGTGCATACACAAATACACATTTGCATGCTTACACACATACACACACGCAAGCATGCATACCCCGCATCACTGCCTGGAGTTCTCCGGCTAAACTACCACTGCAACAGCACATCTACCTGTACACTGCAGCCCTTCACATGGAACTGCAAGCAGTCAAAAGTTCTCCAGCTTCTGGTGCACGTGCAATGGACCCGATAAATATTTAGGGCTGAAATGATCGTGTATTTTCACCTATCGATTACTCTTTAGCTTAACGATCGAGTAATCGATTATAATTGTTAGCAAATAGTGTCTGAATTTTGTGAAAAAATACTCTGTTTCCAAAAACTAAGCCTTCATAATACCAACAATCTGCATTAGTGACAGGGTAGCTCCAAAACATGGCAGTTGTGAAGTCAATTTAACCTCAGAATATACACAATGCCCCAGGCAACTGCAGACTCACAGTGGAAACTGATTCAGTCGTCACAAAACGAGGGTTTTCGGTACTATTTGGACTCAAAATCCCCAACGAGTAATCTATAACGTAACGATTACTTGATTGATAAGGAAATATCGATCGCTTACCGAGTACAGTCTGTATCGGCTATAGCGTACCCTTTTGATTTCCGTGGTTTTATTACTATAACCGATGCATCACTATATGCGATACGACAGATTTTTTTTCTTTTTTCCGATCGAAACATGAAAGGCAAGGAAATACTTCCAGCATGGCGTTTTGACAAATGAGCATGCTGCATAGTTGACAGACAGTGCTCGCATTTCCATACAAAACATTCTGTTATGTACATGTATCACTATAAAAATAAGCAACGTGAAGAAAGTAGGCCTTTGATATTAGAGAGGTTCCGGGGTACGATTTTCCGTGCCAAAATCCGTATGGGCGCTACGGATTTTTTCCAGGCGTGCTCCATACGATTTTTTCGGCACGGAGAATCCGTGTGGACTGGCTTTCATAGGAACCATATTTCGTATGGAGATTTTGCGTCATCGGGTGCAGAAAGATTTTTCGCGTATACATTTGGTACGAGAAACATCGATTTTCCGCGGGAAGTTTTGATTTCGGTACAAATTTTCAAAATAAAAAGGCATAGTGCGGGAATGTGACGTGTTTGCGATCGTAACCTAGGCAATGACGGCAAACACATAAGTTCCGTACTCCGGAACATTTCACTGCTCGAAAACGACGTATAAAAAATCCGTAGCGCCTCTACGGATTTTGGCACGAAAAATCGTACTCCGGAACCTCCCTATTATTGCTACATGTATTTTATTTTATCACTAGAGCCGATAATAATATAGTACGTTATGCATGTTTTGATTCTTTGTTGCCATCATAATATCCGATATAATATCATTACATCCGATAATGTTGGTTATAGTGATATTTTTACTGGATAAAATACGTTTTGCTTTTGATATTTCGTACCAATATCACTGTAGCCGATCTATTCTTATATCCGGTCACTCTATAGCCGATACAGACTGTAATTGGTGTAATCGTTTCAGCCCAGTGTCTGCTCCAGCGCCGGGTGAGCCGGGTAATCCACCCGGTTGGGCGGCGCTTGGACCCGGTTGAAAAATATAGTACCGGGTCACCTGTGACCCGGTTGGTACTTTACACTTTCGAACTTTGAAAGAACTGACTACATGGCTTGTATGCAGGGAGTCGTCAAATATTTGATGACTCCCTGCTTGTATGTGTCAGACACTTCTTCTTTTTTCGTAATTTTCTAATTCTTGTCCTCTCTTTTCTAAATGCGGCTCATCCATTCGCCTTTATATCATTGGGCCTAGTTCCCGTTTATTGTCCGAATTAAAATAAACCAACCAACCAGTTAAAGCATGTGACTCGGCTGGTGAGACAGCGCCAGGTACATGTGTACCCGGCTCCGACCCGGTTGAAATGGTTGCGCCAGGTACACGTGTACCCGGCTGTCCTACAATCCTAGAGCAGACACTGAACAGGTACTTCGTGTCCATCCGAAAAGCTTGTTGGCGGCTCGTACTTTACACTTTCGAACTTTGAAAGGACTGACTACATGGCTTGTACGCAGGGAGTCGTCAAATATTTGACGACTCCCTGCTTGTATGTGTCAGATACTTCTTCTTTTTTCGTAATTTTCTAATTCCTGTCCTCTCTTTTCTAAATGCGGCTTATCCATTCGCCTTTATATCATTGGGCCTAGTTCCCGTTTATTGTCCGAATTAAAATAAACCAACCAAGAGCATGTGACTCGGCTGGTGAGACAGCGCCAGGTACATGTGTACCCGGCTCCGACCCGGTTGAAATGGTTGCGCCAGGTACACGTGTACCCGGCTGTCCTACAATCCTAGAGCAGACACTGCAGCCCTAGATAAAATCCAACGTAATGTAGCCCAGTTGTCATATCACTAGTCTCTTTGGATTTCAATGATCCCAACGTTGGATCAAAAGAGGTACACATACTGTACATGCACTGATCATGTAAGTAGACCGCTACGAAATCCACGACCAGCACTTGTGCCATGTTTGTTTGCCCATTTCGACACTGCACTGTGGTGTAAAAATAATCTGCAAGTGAAACCTGTAAGGCAAGCATCCCGAACACAGTGGCAAATCACATGCAGTCCTCAGGAGATAATCACAGTCCACTTATAACTCTAGTACCCCACTGGATTTGTTTGTCTCGAGCTGAGATGACAGCCGCAAAGCGAAACACATCGTGGCGCTGTGGAAGAATTTTGAAAATATCACCAAACGACTACAGGTGGTGGGTGATAATTCTGGTCCTGCCTGGAGCTACCGCCAGATAGTTCCAGGACTGTTTAGTTGCCTACCAAACCCATCCCAATGCCAAGGCAGAATGAGGTTCGGCCACTTTGGTGGTGTTTGAAACGAGCAGGAAGCAGTCGAATTTCAAGTACATGTATGACGTTCTGTTCACTAATTCTAACCGTCACAAAATACCCACATCAACAAGTGAACAAATTGCAAAGAGGATCGAGCACGAGCTGTCGGGCGGGCCACAGGTAAAAACGAAGTGATACATGACATACACCAGCTTGTTACCCACCTCGAGTTCGCCACTCTGGCCTTCGCTGAAGGCTATCTGCAGCTCTCAACTGACTCTCCCCAGGATTCCAAATTCAGCAAAGTTCTACGGGAAATGTAGCCTCCCGAGGCTAGCTCTACTTGAAAGACACTCACTGTCTAAACCATAGATGGCGAATGCATATAAGTGCCTGCTTGCTCCAGCTCTCAGATTACTGATAAGAAGAAACGTCGACCAACACTCAACAATCGTCAACAAAATTCGGAACAAAAGTGTGAGGAACATCAAGTAAGTTCGGTTGACACCTGCTTCAACTCAAGTGCTTGTTGTTTCCTGACCATCTGACGCAAAGCCCAAGACCTTTCAGTCAGTGACAGAAACGACAACAAGATTTGAACAGATTTGTGTAGTAAACTGCAGAGAGTCTGTTGTTTCGCACAGGATGTTTGGAGTTTCCTGGCCAAGTCCCTGCGCAAACACCATAGTGCTCCGGTTTCCCCTTTGTTTGCTTGGACGGTACGAAGTTTCCGAGGATTTCGCACGAATTTTGCGCAAATATCCGCTGGAGAAACAGAAACTCTACTCCTCTGGCTTCGTGCAACAGAAGTAACAGTTCAAACAATGAAAAACCCGGTACGGTGTACAACTAGGGATCTCAGCGCGTGCACTGCGCATGCAGTTCGCGCATGCAGCCAAACGCGCATTAGAAGTGGCATGCAGAAATTTTGCCAAACACTGGCTATTTTTTGCAGAAAATTGAGATCTTGAGCGAAGGAGAAATGGCTGAAATTTCCTTGCAAGGAGATGGTGGTTACAGGCTACCTGCTTACCAGAATGGGATCTTGTTTGGTATGTTGGCCGCCCATGTGTTCTGGAATCGATTTGTAGCTTTCGTTGGAAGGCGCGAAGCCGTTTTCGTTCCAAACGACAGGGTTCTGTCAGAGCGGAAAATGGCGACCATGCCGATCGTTGCCACGATCTCCGAGTTGAAAATCTCTGGATTTAACCGGGGAAAAGCTCTGGATTCAATGGTAAACCCGGCAGAAATACTTGATGTTGGATGTTGAGAGCTTGCAGGAAATTTGACCGAAGCGTTCATGCTCCACGTGACGGTGTTCGTTCTTGTGAATTTCTGCATTTCTGACATATCGCCGTGCATATGGGCCGTTGTTCCAGAGACATCGATTGTCAGGTGTGGACAGGGTTTTGTTCGAGTAGTCGTGTTGAGACGTGGTTTGGTTCTCACAGGCAACAGGAGCGGCTTCTCGGGATGGCGAAAGCCAAATCTACCCAAAGCCGACTTCACGATCGCCGATCTTCTGGCGGCGCATTTTCACTTATGCTCTGCAACAAGCGGCACAAGCTGTGGAAATCGTCAGATGATATTAGCCTATCAGTGTGCCCAGAACTTCTAGTGACTCTACTGAAGCATTAGCTTGAGTAATCTTTCTCTCTTTCTCTCTCTCTCTGTCCCTCTAAAAATGTTCCAAACTTCGAAATCTAGGTCGAGCTGCATCGGGGAGTCGTCAAATACCGACTCACTGAGCCGGGTTTTGGCGATCGCCATTTTCTTTCAGTCTGCCATCGCCGCGTTGAAAAATCGATTACATCATTGAATGCGCAAAGCCCTGCGCAGTGTCCGCGCTGACATCCCTAGTACAACGCTCGACAGTTTTTGTTGTACGCTATCACGTATCCGCGATCCGGCATACGGTGAATAGTAGTAAAAATAAGGCTATATGATCGATCGGGAGTTGTCGGGGTCAGGGGTCATACGAGTCGTACAACTCCCACGGGAGACTGCGCGATCGCGGTGCAGCATGCAGAAGTTACTAACTTACGACAAAAACGTACTTAGTAGGAAGGAAGAAGCTTTTGTAGCCGCGAGGCAGAGCCTACACCCCCCTGTTTTGGGAGAAATAGAGGTTGCGACTTCGGCGATGATTTTGTTTAGGAATGGGTTTGCTCCCACACTGGAGCTCGCGCTATTCCGCCGACTTGACTTGACACTTGTCAAGTGTTAGTTGACTGACTCACGACTGCCATCCAGAGAACATGAGAAGTCCATCGAACCTTCGACTCAGCAAACCTGCAAGAACTTACGGGACTACACCACAAGTGGTCGGCCACATCTGGCCTTGGTGGATCTGTGGAGGTGCTTGCTGTCGACATCGCTGGGGCTTTTGACAAAGTCTCCCACACAGGTGTACTGCACAAGTTGCGGAACATCGGTGTGAAGGGCGCCCTCCTGGACTGGTTTAGAGACTACTTAACAGGTCGTTCGCTGGAAGTGGTCATTGGCGGCAAGAGCTCCGATCGCTATCCGATCTCTGCAGGAGTGCCACAAGGCAGCATCCTTGGACCGTCCCTGTTCCTAGCATATGTAAATGATGCTGATAGCTGCCTGGCTCCAGGGTCTGAAATGGGAACATTTGCAGACGACACCACGCTGTATGCCTGCGTCAATACACGCGATGATGCCATACACCAAGCTGACAGTCTCCAAGCTTCCGTCAATGCGTTACATGCATGGGGAACACAGTGGCATGTTAACCCTAGAAGTACCGGAGGCATCATATGATGCATTTGCGAATTTCAAAATGGGATTGCTGTTATATGGGGCTTAGAATCTCATCAAATAATTTAATTTTGTTAATGGCAGTGGGTTGTGTTTTCAAAAATTTAGAACAGTTCCGAAATGCCAGGGGGTGCTACCTAGTACCTAGAACTACCGCGCAGCATCATATGACTCCATAAGTCCATATACCATAGGCATCAATAAAAGGGAGAATTTGGCTTAGAACCATACGTGAATAACGTGAAGAGGATTACATTTGGGAGTAAGGAGATTAGGGGCCATGAAGGTGGTGATTTGTACATATGGACATGCTAATATGCACATTTCACGTGTCGTTATAACTTATGGTCAATATCATAATCTCGAATCCTGCCGAAACAGACAAATTTGTTTGTCCTAAGTTTGGAAAGTGATTCACTATGTCATCTGCAGCATAGCACGATATGAAGTGCCAGGGCAGTTATAATAATCTAGGAACGTCCTTTGAGTTTACGTTGGTCTGGCGGAAGCCATGTTCAGTAGGCGCAGTGTCGCTGCCGATAAAACATTTCATTTGATTTTGAATTTTTTTGGGCAGGAGTTTGGGGATAAATGCGAGGAGAGTGCCTGGAGCATTGTGCGCGAGAAGTGACCGAACACAGAGACACTTAGTTGTATGCTCCAGATGAAGATATAATTATATAATACTAATTGCTCCGGCTTCTCGATCAGTCTGATACAGGACCGCAGTCAAGGGAGCCGCGTTGAAGAGGATAATGGTGATGATAAAGCTATGGAGCCATACACATAACAGAACATCAATCTCCAAAACTCGGGCAGGATTTCCTTCATGAAGCTGGGTTCTCTGGCAAAATTGGTAGATAGTGGAAAATGTGTTGCATCAAGCAAGCGCGAACGTGCGCAACCGGTTGTTGCTTCCGAAGTTTGCGGGCTTTTCCGAGATAATCACAATTTTGAAGATGGGGCAGATGCATCATTTGCATTTATTGACCGGAATATGATGGCATGTCATGATCAAGTGCACAAGTTAGGAGGGAAAACAGAAAATTGGAGAGGACTCTACTTTGAGTGAAAGCAATATCATGGCATTAGTTTCTCAAATTTACGCAAGAGGCGTCCTCTGTACCCGCAATAATCTGCCGACGGCCCTTCGGCTGGATAGGAATGGACGCCATATAATCAAGTAAAATCCCTAAAAATAGTTTCCAGGAACTATTCTGCTACTTGAGGTTTGATCACGAAGATGGTCACCGGACACTACGTCGAATGGAAATTATTCGTTTGCTATGAGTCGCGACACCACGTTCTCCTTTCACTCGTAAATGTATTTATCACAGTAGTCAAAGAATGACCAACCTGGCTGAGAATAGTCCAGCAGGTTGGCCCAGCAGCAGCCATTTCCTGGGTAATGGACTGAAATGTAGAGTTTGCAGGATGAGCATGGCAAGCAAATGCTCTTTTATTTTTCCGTAAACTGACGAGAGGTCGCCCTTTCGCTGCGCGCAATGCCAGCTGCTGGTCTCCAAGATGGTGCACCTGACATTGGTTCTTCCTTTTAAAAGGTAAATTTTACCCCAAGGACTTCTGTTTCTACACATATTGCCGAAAAAAATTCCAAGGAGGTATGTTTAAGTCCGGTGGAGTCATATGATGCCTCCGGTACTTCTAGGGTAGTTGAAATTTTGGTAGTTCTAGGGTTAAGTTTGAACCATCCAAGTCGCAGCTCCTACGAATCTCCTGCCATCGACAGCAGCCTTGGCCTGTCCCCGCAATACACTTTGGAGGGGAGGTCATCCCACAACAGCCACACCTCAAGCTCCTCGGAGTTATGGTTGACTCCAAGCTATCCTTTTCCATGCATGTTGGGGGCAAGAGAGGGGTAAAAGAAGCTTCGGTCCTTGTTTGGCGGTCTTGAGGATGTTTCACGGAGAAAGCAGCCAGCAATGGCTGCGTTTAAGTCGATGTGGGCCCTTTGGAAGCGCAGAGAAGATCGAAGCCGTTGGAGAAAAACTGAGACTGCGCCTTCACAACGCCTTTGTTAGTATTTTATTATTTGACTAGGGGAGTCCCAACAGGCCTGTCCTTGTTACAGGGAACCATGGGTGAATCTTTGTGAGGTGAGCAAAAGTACCAGCAGATTGTGCCTGACGACAGTTTGGAGGAAGAGCGTTCCACCGACCTGCCGCCAGAAAAGAAACTGAGCGCAGTCCATACCCAATATATGCACCGTATTTTCCGGGGCATAAGCCGCACTTTTTTTCGCTAAAAACCGGACCAAAAATCGCCCCTGCGGCTTATACACCGAATATGCTTGCGCGAATGAATGCTTAGCATACATCAGTATGCATGCTGACGTCATGTGACATGTCATTCGACTCAGCTTCGCGCGAGACTGAAGATAGTGCAGATGGCATGGAGTGATCTGTAGTCAACACAGTACAGCAATACACCAACATCTCTGCAGCAACCTGTGGTGCACTAACACTAATCTTCATAATCTGATCTAACATTGTATTTAGCTCCATAACCATAATAAATTTGTGGAAAGGCCATTAAATGAGTGTGAAAAATCTTGGTTTGTGGGTGCGGCTTATACTCCGAATACCAACTTTTAGTCAATATTTTGCCTCAAAAAGGGGGGTGCGGCTTATACCCCGGAAAACACGGTATGTGCAGTAGGTAATATCGGTAGTACTAAGGCAGCTGTATCCTGGCCACGAGTACGAGCATTTGTGTGCGGGCCAGCTGAACGCAGGAGAAACAGTGATAGGGGGCTAGCAATTGATGACAAGCAGCGATAGACCAAAATGTGTACTAGTAGTTTCAAATTAACTCTTTCCTCAAACGAATACAGATGACACCGTTGTAGAACTAATGCAGTTGGGGTAGTTCTATCTAAACCGAATGCCTTCTTCATCGCAATATGGCTGACCGTTACAAGCCTGTTATATAGGGTAGTTTTCAAACAATGCACATACGCATTATTATGCTAGAGAAGACTGTATAATTGACAAGTAGAAAGTTCACTGAGCTGGAGCTGATAAATTGCGACGGCCATGAGCAAAACAGACTAGTTTAGCGAAGACCGCTGAACACACCTTTTCGACTTGTGGGCGGAACGTTAGATGCTCATCGATTAGTATACCGAGGTATTTCACAGTAGAGACAGAGGGAATGTTATACCGGTAGTACCAATTTACAACGCTGGAACGTGGGGCCTAACAGTAGCTGCGGAGAATAGCCTGGACGCGTTTCGTAGGGGTATATGAATAAGAATGCTATGAGTGTCATAGTACTAGTATACCATATTGGCGTCTATGAACTACATGTACGAAGATTACTGTCACAGAACAATGGATCATTTTAGACGAGATTGAGCTCATTTGTGCAAACCTACCCCTTCCTTTTCTATTCGTTCTCTTCTCTCTCTTCTCCCTTCTTTCTCTTCTTCTGGGTGTAGGCCTTTGCGGATAATGCCGGCGGAAAAATTGGCAGAATTCGGTACTTTTTCTGGTAAGTTTCATGCATGTTTGGTATGTGGATACAGAAATGGAGCAGAATTCGAGGAATTGCCCGCCATAAGGTTTGTATGGTTCTGCCAATTTCACTGCTTTTCGAGCAGAATCTGCCACCTTTTCGAGCATTATCCGCCAATATAATGCCTATCTGGGTGGCAATCTGGCTGAGCTGCCCTTTTGTTCTGTTGACCAGGCAGGCACAGTGGGTTGGTCAAAGACCATGATTGAGATACGAGAGGTACCTGGTTGAAGTCCTGCCTGGGAGCGGTTTTTCCAGCCGTGCTGCTACCCACAGTCAACTAGGAACTTGTGACCAGGCACAAGGGGTACATGGACGCAGCTAATGGGGTCGTTTTCGGCACTTGTGCCAGTGGTTGTGAGACTTACCCACTCACCCCCACCGTTAGGCGCTGCATCTGCCGCTAGGGTTTATCGGGTGTTAGCGGCTGTCGTGAGTTCCCTTCTGGAACGGACACGATAATTTACTTTTTTTTATATACAGTCAGTATCGCCTATAGCGTTGGTGTTTGATTTTGAGCATGTTATCACTATAAGCGATATATCACTATGACCGATACTGCATGCAATGTATGCGAGTGGGGTGTCAAACGACTCAGGGCGTCGTGCACATACGCACTGCATAGCTGGCTACAGCTCATGTCACACAACATCAGCATTTCCTCACGATGGAGGCATATTTGGCAACTTTTACAAGCAGAACTCACCAAACAACACTGGACAAGTTAGTTCTTCACGAAGAAGTAACACCCTGTTCTCCTCTGACACCACTTGATTTTACATCAATCACTATAATCGATGCAAAAATAATGCAATGAAGGTCTTTTGAAATAAGAATGTGATCACTATAGGCGATATATTACTATAGGCGATTATTACTATACGCGATAATTGTGTATACTTAGTTATGGCAAATGAAAATGAATTTGAGAAATTGATCACTATATCCGGTATATTACTATAGCCGCCAACCTTATAGGCGATACCGACTGTATATATAATTTTTGTACTACATGTACCATACACATTGTACAAAAAATAATAAAATCAAAATGTGCCGGTACATGTACATGATAATGATGTGACACAGAGTCGGACCTGCACGCACCCTGCATGCACCCTGGTCGGACGCGTGAGTCACGTGACCCGTCGGCAGCCGGGAGGTTGAGATCGATCGGATTTTGATCTTGTCAGAAGTCAAGTCTCGTGCATGCTAGCTATGCCTAGGCGCCTACGCTGTCATCATGCCATTCTCATTCATGGTCATCAACATCATGCCTTGCCATGTACGTAACTCATGTATGATGTAGCATAGCGCGCGAAGCTTCTGTACTACACTCTACAGACGACTGTAGCGATTTTCTGATAGTGACACGCAAATCCATGTTTTTAGACCTGTAGTCCGCTGGCGTCACCATTGCTGACTCGACTGTCCACCCAGTCTCCCAACGCAACGTTGAAGAGCAAGACAAACATTCGTGCTTTTATGTCAAACGCCCGGAAGGAGTGTAGGTGTTAGCTATCGTCCTGCCCGTTAGGATAGCGATCTTGTCCATTCCGACAGCGAGTTCTGAACGGTCTTCATCAATTGCACGGTACGTGAACAACGTAAATACTGACAGTTGAGCGTTTTGCTATTCCGTATTAGTCTCCAATCAATCTTGTAATTCATTTTATTATTAAATTTTATAATATTATTTATTTCACATCGGAAGCTCACGCTTGGAGTGTCACATGTAGGGCACAATCCAACACAACACCTACACTCAGACCAAGCACTGTACATACAAGTTTCACACCTTTCACACCTTGTCCAGAAGCCTCCAGCCACAGTCCCTGTTCACAGACGGATGCCTATCACGAATAAACATAGCTTCACGGATATGACGGTTGGCAAGGGATGACTGGGTGGCGAGAATTGAACCGTTGGTGACGGGTACGGCAACGTCGGTGTGATGTGGGTGGTGATGTGCGTAATGTTCTCCCCACGGTGTGCCCACTGCCCGTGTTTTTGCCTCTCCACAATGCTCTTCAAAACGTTTACGAACATTTCTTTCCGTCTCACCAACATACTCTTCCTCACATACCGAGCACAACGTTGAGTAAATGACATCCTGGGACACACATTGACCAACGTGTATACGGCATCACAGGCACGACACTCAACAGGCCTTCATCGTCGTTTCTTCTTCTTCTGGTGCACTCTTGGGCACTCAGGGCGAGACAACTATGACGACATCAACATAATTATCCTTTAGCGAGCGACCAGGCTGGAATACTACACGGACGTCTTTACTGAACGAACGTACGGTACGGCGAACATCACGAGCCAAACGGGCATTCGCGAATGGCGCCTGGAGGATGGCTGTGGGTGGGTGCTCTCGGCATGATCTGCGTGGATTGCTGGCGTTGTGTTTGGCTGTGCTAATGGCATGCTGTGGGTAGGTGTTGTCGGCTAGAAGCTGGTCTACTTTCTTCTCTCCCCTTGCTTTGCTGGCATTTGTTGAGGAGTTCCTGTGGGCACGTCTGAATTGCTCCCCAGCGACTGACGTCTTCATCTGCAACGGTAACGATCATGTGTATGACAGATGCACACCACTATGACTGGGCTTGACAAACAACTCCAACTCCACACCACCACTGCAAGCAGATAAGGACTGCTGAACCTGGGCAAATAAATTGTTGATGAGAAGCTAAACGTTCCCAATGTTTTCAAACAAAATTGCACGATATCGGTCCAGACAAACTGGATAATCCAATAAGCGCTTAAAACCACGATCAAACTGGTCCGGTCATGCCGCCGGATTTCCGTGTCCACATCAGTTTTTACCGTACAATCCCGACAGAGCGCCCCTACCTCCGCCACCCTTCGAGTAGGTCCAGGTGGGGAGGGGCGGATGGGCGAGTCCTACTTGCCGCATTCGACACTACATGAAAAAGTACTCGCCCATGAAAACTGTATGTGTGTCTCGTGCACCGACCAAAGGTCAAGAGCAGGAAGTCATACAGACCCATAAAAAACCCAGGGTTTGTGTGATCCCTGGTCAAAAGGGTGTGGATTGTTGCGTCCATTTCCAACCGGGTCCAGCACGCGTCTGAAGTGCGGTACGGCATCACACTTCGCAGAGTCATACGAGGATTCTCACTTCCCTGACAAGAAGTCAGGGAGGGACACATGGGAGAGACGGGGCGCTCTAGCGGGATTTTACAACTTATGCATGTAAATATATTGAGCCAAACCGAGTACAGTGAAACCTGTGTAAGACGACCGCTCAATGGACCTTCAAAATGTGGTCTCTGTAACCAGGTGGTCGCCTTTTCCAGGGCCAATTGACTGGAAATAGCATCCCTTGGTCCTGGCTGCAGTGGTCTTCTAGGACAGGTGGTCGCCTTATCCGAGTGGTCACCTTGACAGGTTTTACTGCAGTTGTATTATGCATGTGTGTGCATACCCATGTGTTTGGTTGTATGTACACTCAAACCTGTGACTAACGACCACCCCTTGGGGCCAGAGAAAGCGGTCTTTAGTGGCAGGTGGTCCTTACTTGGAGGTTTGCACCGCACGACCATAATATATGAATGTGAGACCGTCCGTGCCTGGCAAAGTGGTCTGTAGTGCCAGGCTGGTCGCTAGTCACGGTGGTCTTTAGTACCAGGCTGGTCGCTAGTCAAGGTGGTCTGTAGTACCAGGCTGGTCGTTAGTCACGGTGGTCTTTAGTACCAGGCTGGTCGCTAGTCAAGGTGGTCTTTAGTACCAGGCTGGTCGCTAGTCACGGTGGTCTGTAGTACCAGGTTTTACTGTATCTGCAATGTCTGCTTTGTTCAGCGTGTGTCCAGAATGGCTCTGCCGATCGTACTGAGTGTCGCTGTGGTGGTGCTAGCTGCATTGCGTGTCGGTGTGGACGGCACACATGTCATCGGTGATGGTGTGGCGCTGACTCCACCCATGGGATGGTAAGTGGGAGAATTGTTGCATTTCAGTACGATCATGTATCTGGTAAAATTCTAGTCTGTTTGTTCTTCGGCGCAGCGTTCTTTGTAGCCTGGCAGTACTGTATAGATCCTAGACATCACAGAGAAGTGATGCACCATGTAGTACATAGTAAACAGGTCACATGACATTTTGTAGTACGCGGTAAACAGGTCACATGCCCTTTTGTAGTACATTGTGAACAGGTCACATGACATTTTGTAGTACATTGTGAACAGGTCACATGACATTTTGTAGTACGCGGTAAGCAGGTCACATGACATTTTGTAGTACATTGTGAACAGGTCACATGACATTTTGTAGTACATTGTGAACAGGTCACATGACATTTTGTAGTACGCGGTAAACAGATCACATGACATTTTGTAGTACTCGGTAAACAGGTCACATGACATTTTGTAGTACACCGTGAACAGGTCACATGACATTTTGTAGTAATTTGTAATTTTTATTGTTTAAGGATTTCCCAAAGGCTTTCGCCTATCGAGGGGGTTTCCGTACATGTACAGTGGGACATGTGTTTTGCCGAGACTGTACCAGTCCAAGCGGAATCCTGTATTGACCGGACACACTTCCATGCACCAAAGTGCTGTGGATCGAGCATGCACCCCTGGATCAAGCGACATCCCGTCATTATCAGGATAGTTTCCACTGCACCGAGGGCGTCCGGCTAGGGCAGGTTTTACTCTACGATTAAAAAAGCTATACCGGTATTTATAACAGTGCATAGACAGCTGTCTAAGGTCCTCAGGCTGCGTATACCATATTTCCCCGTTTATAAGTCGCACTCGATTATAAGTCGCACCCCCATTTTCAGGTTTGAGCAATATTGATTTGATATATTGACTTCAGTAGTAAGTCACGCTCGATTGTAAGTCTCTTTTTCACCTTTGAATTTTAGTGTAAAAAGGTGGGACTTATATTCGGAGAAATATGGTAGTGCTCTATGTCCACTGGACGGAACCAGTAATACACTAATCATACAGCAATGACACAACCAAGTCTTCTTCTGCCGATACTCACTCAGAGTTTCGTGTTTTAGAAACACCCATTAGACAACATAATCCATGACAGCGCATACGTGTGCATGTACGTGTTGCTATGTATCCTGTGTGTATGCCCCTGGCACAGGAATTCCTGGAACCACTTCCGCTGCGGACTGAATGAGGAGCTCATTCGCAGCACTGCTGATCTGCTTGCCAGTTCTGGCTTGCAGAAGGCCGGCTATGTCTACGTTAACTTGGACGGTGAGCCGCGTGCATTTATACTACAGGATAGCTGGGAACGGTTTACTGACGGTTCTAGCTTGCTAAGTCCAATGTTGTATTCACATGATCCAGCAGGGGCGTCGGAAGGTATTTTAGTGTGGTGCGGTCAGCCACCTGAAGTACAATTTACTCGTGGGGGAGGGTGGCGGAGTCGGAAATTTAGAGCCCAGATCAGTGTATTTTATTGCTTCACGGGGTACCTGGGGCAGAACGTTGTACGGTCAATAGTGTAGTGACCGAACCGTGTCCGACGCCCCTGTCCAGTAAACCGATCCCGCCGGGAAACTCGTACCGTGCTGGGCTAGCTGTTTACTAGCTTGTAGAACTGCAGGAGTGTCACATAGGGTACGATCAGTACGATCATGGTGCGGATCACCTTTCGTTCAGGATGGTTTGCATTGTAGTGATCTAGGGCTGAGTGCTGAACATTTCTGTGATTTGGAGTGGTTTCACATGAGCCGTGTTGGTTCCAACTCTACTCAACCCGTGTGCATCTATAGGTCACATGATGTCAGTGGCCATGTTGGTTCCACTGTCCACATGCCATGATCACTTTCTGCACAAATCCAGTCACATGACGTGATCACTTTCTGCACAAATGTTGTCACATGACAAACTGATCTGAACTACAGTATCTATTGTTTGTGTGTGTATATTGGTGCAGATTGCTGGCAACACAGCCGCACTCCGGAAGGCGTGATAGTCCAGGATGAAACCAAGTTCCCGAATTTCACCGGCATGATTGCCTACATCAAGTCTAAGGGGCTCATGTTTGGTAAGCAGTCACACAATGGCAGCTACTGAAAAGAAAACTCGGAAAAGGGTATCGCTATTCACCATGCCGGCGGAATGGGATGGGGGAGGGGGCTGCAGGCGGGTGTCCATGTGTGTGTGTGTGGGGGGGGGGGGTGCGTGTGTGTATGTACACGCGTACGTGCGTGTGTGTATGTGCTGATCCATGTGTACATGTATGTGCTGGCATGGATCACTGTCTACAATGGTGGAGTCAACTGACGATGGACAATCTTGATAGTACGTGGGCATGCCATTTTGAATTTTTCAAATCCACTACCCTATGTTGAGCATCATAACAGATTCGGTCCACTGGCAATGTATGAAAAATGACGTTGCCCTTCAAGTGAAATGCTGTACTGCCATAGCCAAGCTATTGGGACCCACTGCTTTGCTCCTAAACCAGCTCAAGGCAACTACCAGTTTGAAAAAGGAGAATGTTATCGGCCGTTGAGTGTAGACGGCAGACTGTTAAATAGTGTGTGTGGGGGGGGGGGGGGGGGGGGGGGGGGCGCGCGCGCGCGCGTGTATGCGTATGTGTGTGTGTTTGTTTGTTTAGCTTTATTCTCCTTCACCAGAAGCACAGGCAAATCTGCCTTCTCACTGGGCCTATTGCCACAGCTCTCGCAAAATGATGAAGATTGTGTATAACATGTGTGTGTGTGTGTGTGTGTGTGTGTGTGTGTGTGTGTGCGCGCACCGACGCCCACGTGTACATACATTTCCGTTTTATCTACCAATCTCCCTTGTTCCAGGGTTGTACACGGACCGTGGAACGTACACGTGCCAGCACCGTCCCGGGTCATACTCACACGAGATGATCGATGCCAAGACATACGGTACGTAACACTTCTCTTTAGGGCTGAGTCAGGTAGCATTTTCTTCGGGTACCGGGTTCGGGTAGTTTTCCACGGGTGGCACGGGCACCCTGTCGGGTAATATTTCCATGGTAGCACCACACTGCACGCCTTCCGTTGCACACTGGCTGCGTTCGATTATGCACTTGAATCGATTCATGAATCCATTCGCATGCATTCAAGTCGTTCGAATTTCATGTCATGAGCCCTGGTATCGATTCGGAATCCATTCACTCTATTCACATCGGGTGATGTGAATAGCGCGAATCGATTCATGAATCGATTCGTGAATCGATTCGCGTTCGTAATCGATTCGCGTTCGTAATCGAACGCACTCACTGGGCAGACCATGGTAGACTTACGGAGTATTACATGAATTTGTACACATGCACTGTACATAATGTCATCTGTTACTTCGAGTTTTCTGGTACTGTTCTGTACCCGTCTACCCGAGGTCCCCACGGGTAGCACGGGTACCCGACTACCCGTGCACACCACTACTTCTCTTAATCTCCGGACGGCAAGCTGTAGGAAAGTGTGTCCTTCCTATCAGTAGTATTGCATTCTTGTCTCCGAGGAAACTGAACAGCAAGCTTATCCGTTCTCCCCAGTAGAGCTCAGAGTTACTCGCCAAACCGATTGTAATGGACACACGCATACCTCGATTGTCCGGACCTCGAAGTCACGGGCACTTCGCACTAGACGGAATTTATTTTCGTACGATTTCGTACACAGCCTCTTTTGTACTAAAATTAATTCCGTACGAAGATTCGTTCATGTGAAATTATGTACAGAATACATGAAGTACATCATGAACTGGCTCCCGTCCAGGACTAGTGCGTAGGCGTAGTGGCGCGGTGCAGTCACAGCTAGCTAGCCATAACACGCATGCAATGCGCCTTGGCACGGGGGTACTGCGTGCGAACTCGTGCATTTTGCATGCGGCACTGTGCGAAAATATGATCCGTACAAAAGGTCGAAATGCGGCTTTTTGCGAAAATATTCCCGTCCGAAAATGTCCTGCTATACAGCATTCACTGTGGTGAGATCATGGGTTTGTGTGTGACGGCGATCCCGTGTGTTTTGTTTTGTGTACAGCTGCATGGGGTGTAGACTATGTGAAGAACGACGACTGCAACGTGCCCAAGGGTGGCAATGCAGACACCGACTACGGCCACATGTTTGAAGGCATCCATGCGTCCGGCAGGCCCATGGTGCACAGCGTCAAGGGTTCAGAGCCCATAGCCAACGCACACAATGTGTCCAACATGAGACGGTAAAATACACTGTATAACATGTTGAAAAAGGAGAAGGACGAAATGTTACGAGTTATGACTAACTGTCCACCAATGTAACCAGATCATATAGAGTCAGCGAGTGCGACAAAATGGCACGAGACTGTCAAGGAGTACTGAGACATTGGCGATCTGACATATGATCTGGTTACGCTGGTGGACAGTTAGTCATAACCCGTAACATTTTGTCCTTCTCCCTTTTCACCATAATTGAGTTGGCTCACTATCCGAGTTCAACTTTGTATAAAGTGTAATTTTATTTGCAGTTAAATTTTGGTGTCGGGGACCTGCCAGGTTTCAGGTGTGGTGTATAATTTTAGGTAACCAGCGCTTCCTGCACGTACAGTGCATATTTCAGTGCCGTTTTAGGGTGAAATCTAAATTTAGGTGCCTGGTTTCTCTAGTAGTGTTGTGGATGTTGACATTCGTTGAGAAGTCAAGCGGCCACTGGGCGCTGGCCTTGCAGCCGCTAGACTGCAGCCGCTAGCACTGCTTGCCCAGTTTTACGTTGTGAACGTGAACTGCAGTATATGTATGCGCTAAGACAGTCATGTTTGCATCAGGGTGTGAGCTTTCCACATGCTTTCTGTTGGTCGAGAGCTTTCTATATGCTTGCTGTGTGGCGAGAGTTTTTCATGTTTGCTTCGGGGTGCGAGCTTTCCACACATTCTCTGCTGTGTGAGAGCTTTCCCCGTGTTTGCTGACTTAGAACTGCAGAGTAGTCTCATTTGGCACCATATTTCTCTATCTCTCCCCCCCCCCCCCCCCCCCCCAGAGAGAGAGAGAGAGAGAGAGAGAGAGAGAGAGAGAGAGAGAGAGAGAGAGAGAGAGAGAGAGAGAGAGAGAGGGGGAGAGAGAGAGAGAGAGCCCCCCCCCCCCTCCTTCACAGATACCGCCTCACAGGAAGGTGCCAGATTTGCATGTAGGGCTAGTGAAGTACTAATGTCTTTAACAAATAGCACCTTTCTCACACCACTGACTTGTGCTACAGTCACTGTATGGCCTAGACTGTTGTATTTTGCACTTCTCACTTCTCACTAACCTGTAGAGAATGGTAGCTAAATTCTTGGGAAGGAGAGTTTGTTGTCGCACTATCTGACTGTAGTAATATTATCTCGTTACCTTGGTTACCTTGGTTACCTTGGTTACCTTGGTGGACTGTTAAACATAACTGGTAACTTATAAGTCCTTTTCTCTTCACATTATTACTATTGGCTCAACATCCGAGTTTTTATTAAGAAGAGTTCACTCTGTGCATTTTGGTAAAACACCATTTTGCAGCTTGTGCTCAATATCAGTCCATATTCTCCTGGACATTATGAAGATGTGTGGTTGAAGTACTGAATTAGCTCTTCAAAAGCAGGGAAGTTTGGGTGCTGTCTATATGCGTGTGTCCAAATGCTGTGATGCATACTTCAAAGAAGTATGTGTGTGTGTGTGTTTGTGTTTGTGGACGTGTGTGTCTGCATATGTGTGTGTTTGTGGACGTGTGTGTCTGCATATGTGTGTGTGTGTGTGTGTGTGTGTGTCCCATTGTATACAGTGTTGGTCATGACATTGGAGACAATTTCGGCAGTATGCTCAGTCTGGTCATGCAGGGAGAGAAGCAGAACCTTTCACAGTATGCACATCCTGTAAGTACCAACAGCCCGTACACTCATGTACAGCATAGCACAGGACAGCACAGGACAGCACAGCACAGCACAGGACAGCACAGCACAGGACAGTACAGCACAGGACAGTGCACTACACCACTAGTACATAACCCTCAAGAGTGTGCAACTCCAGCTACGGGGTCTGCGACGACAGGACATCACATGACGTGACCAACCCACACACATTATTTGCACCCTGTGCATGATGGATACAGGGTTGTACGCGACCCTGCTTTGGTTCAACTCTCTTGTGGTCACTTTGCACTGTTCGATAGCGTAACCTTTTTAAACCATGTCACGTGATGTGCAGTTCTGCCGCCTCAGCACTGTATAGAGGTTGTGCAGGCAGTTCACACTCCTGGAGGTTATCTACTCTTGATTACGGTGAAGAAGTTCAGTGTAAAGTACTTTAGAACAGTGTCCCCTCTACCATACTTTCTCTGTGTGTGTGTGTGTGTGTGTGTGTGTGTGTGTGTGTGTGTGTTTGTGTGTGTGGTGTGTGTGTGTGTTTGTGTGTGTGTTTGTGTGTGTGTGTGTTTGTGTGTGTGTGTTTGTGTGTGTGTGTGTGTGTGTGTGTGTTTGTGTGTGTGTTTGTGTGTGTGTGTGTGTGTGTGTTTGTGTGTGTGTGTGTGTGTGTGTGTGTTTGTGTGTGTGTGTGTTTGTGTGTGTGTGTGTGTTTGTGTGTGTGTGTGTGTGTGTGTGTGTTTGTGTGTGTGTGTGTGTGTGTTTGTGTGTGTGTGTGTGTGTGTGTGTTTGTGTGTGTGTGTGTTTGTGTGTGTGTGTTTTTGTGTGTGTGTGTGTGTGTGTGTGTGTGTGTGTGTGTTTGTGTGTGTGTGTGTGTGTGTGTTTGTGTGTGTGTGTGTGTTTGTGTGTGTGTGTGTGTGTGTGTGTGTGTGTGTGTGTGTGTGTGTGTGTGTGTGTGTGTGTGTGTGTGTGTGTGTTTATCACCCCAGGCTGCACTGACTAGTGTTTGTGCTCGGAACATGACGTGTCACTCTGTGTATTCTTCTGCTGTGTGCAGGGATTCTGGAACGATCTGGACATGCTGGAAATAGGTGAGGCAAATGAGAGACTGGTTGCCTCCTTTCCTAATGCGAAGGAATCCTTGGTATTCATTTTGCCAGGGTGTGTGTATGTGTTTGTGAGTGTGAATGTGAGGGCTTGTGTGTGTCTGTGGGTGAGGGGTGGGGGTGGGGATGAATAACTATGGATAATGAATAACCCTCGAGCTCCTTTCAGCTAGCTGTTTCAACCTTGTTAGGTCTCATCAGCAGGGCTTTGAGTATCCCTACCACATGCATATACTGCTTATGCTGGCATGGCGATCATGGAAGACACCAGTGTATCAAGTCACAAACATTGTCAGACCCCCTCCCCCCCCTTGCATACAAGCATGCCACCAGCACTGTACCTATACGGTTCTCATTCATTGCCTGGGTTCAAGGATTTATTTAGAATGCTAGGCCAACAAGAATGCCGGCTTTGCCACCCAGTGCCTTGTGTCAATATTGCAGACGCTGCGACCGACACCCCTTCAATCAGTAACTGGGGGCGTCAATGTTTGGCCCTCTTGTAGTTTTGTGTGTTTCTACATATTGTGAGCGTGCTGCACAAGCGTTGTGAAAGACTCACACAGCTAGCCTTACACGAGCACAGACACCTTCCTTTGTCGGTTGATTCGCGTGGAGCGTTGTGTGGTACTCAAGTGTCATGAAGTGCAGCCACTCAAAGTAATGCATTTCACGTTTCACAGGACAGTGTTTCTAGTATGCAAGGATTAGAAGTATGGACAGTTTAGACTGCCTGCTGGAATGTCACTGCAGTCAACCGCGCGAATACAACCTCAGGTATAACACCGTCAAATCACGAATATCGACACTATCTTCATACCAAGTAGCCATATTATTGCATACTTTCAACCTCATTGATGATGACATCTCGCGAATAACAACACAACACGGTGCCCAACTGAGGGTCGTTATTCTCAATGTTGACTGTATACCGTACTATCTCTAATATAAGCACAGTCTCCAATAATAGCACGTCTCCAATAATAGAACACCTTGGGGCGGCATTCAAAAAATAAAGTGCTCAGTCTCCATTATAAGCACACTGTGTAAATTCATTATCTGTACCGGCGAAAACCCCCTGAAATGTGTGTGTCTGACATGAATTTGGCATGGCAACATGCCTCTGAAATGAGGTTGAAATAATAATGGAACAGTCTTCAATAAAGGAACGTCTCCATTAATAGCACGGGGCGAAGGTACATTGAAAAATAAAGGACCATGCTTATATTAGAGATAATACGGTCTACAAACCTCCCTTCACCCGGCTGTGCATGAGAACTGGCCATTGGGATTGTGGAAGAGTGACTTACCCTAGTCAGTTGTTGAAGCTCAGTGCTGCTCAATGAAATGCAATTAAGGGAGTCAATGCCGCGTCGGGTGCTGCTATGCAGCTCTAGACCTGCGGACACTGGGATGGTGAACTGGTGCAGGGCGCGAATTTTACTCACGCGATCGGAATTCGTTGAGCAGCTCAGTAGAATACTGTGAACAGCAACCTCACTGCAGCAATATGGAGTAACTCTCTCACACACACACACACACAATGTATTGCATACTCTGTGTGTGTGTGTGTGTGTGTGTGTGTGTGTTTGTGTGCGTGTGTGCACAGGCAACGGAGGTATGACACTGGAGGAGTACAAAACGCACATGGCATTCTGGTGCATTTTGAAAGCTCCCCTGTTGCTAGGCAACGACCTGACCAAGATGACTGCGGACATTCTGGCCATACTGACAAACGCTGAGGTACAGTTTGGGCGTGCAATGTACTACCGTAAGATATGTTAGCCCCATCCCTCACACAAACAAGTCAACAAAGAGGCATCTTTGGATTGAGGAGTGCTGGTTTCGAAACAACTGGTTTGAAGCTCAAAGTAGAGCTGGTGTTAGCTCAGAGCAGAGCTGCTGTTAGCTCAGAGCAGAGCTGCTGTTAGCTCAAAGTAGAGCTGCTGTTAGCTCAAAGTAGAGCTGCGGTTAGCTCAAAGTAGAGCTGCTGTTAGCTCAAAGTAGAGCTGCGGTTAGCTCAAAGTAGAGCTGCTGTTAGCTCAAAGTAGAGCTGCTGTTAGCTCAAGGTAGAGCTGCTGTTAGCTCAAAGTAGAGCTGCTGTTAGCTCAAAGTAGAGCTGCGGTTAGCTCAAAGTAGAGCTGCTGTTAGCTCAAAGTAGAGCTGCGGTTGGCTCAAAGTAGAGCTGCTGTTAGCTCAAAGTAGAGCTGCTGTTAGCTCAAAGTAGAGCTGCTGTTAGCTCAAAGTAGAGCTGCAATGCTAAATGGATGTAATAATAGCGCAAGGCAGAGCCGCAGCAAATAGCTAGATAACACCAGTTGTGAGAGTGGACCCATGAAACCAGCACTCCGTTAGCTAAGCACTATTGACGCACAGCAAGGGTCAATTTATGTCAGCACAGGCAAGCATTGCGCAGCTAGAGTTCAGTAGCTCATTACTCACCCGAGTTGGGGATCATGGCATCCATGGCACGGCAGCAAGCCGGGACGATAGCTGGCGCTTAGCGCTTGTTGTAGTCCGGATGTAGCATAGACACGCATCGCTCTTTCCACTGACCTGCCACTCGGAAGAAGGAGTCGGGGCACTAGCCATAGCAGCGGTGGTGGCTGCACCAATGTGGACCGAATGCCCGGAGTAGTTCGACTGGGATGGTACACCTGCCGCAGTGACAAGAGACCATACTGTTACTGTGAATGACTGCCTGGTCAGCTGCTGTCTGTTCGAGAGTACGAACAAGAGTTGCTCTGGTCCCTCGCGACGAGTGACAAATGGGTAGCTAACAATGGCACGGACCGGGCAGTACGGCGGTACAGACGGGCCAATGTCACTAGTAACGCCTTTACCGAATGGGTCCGTCTTGGATGAAAGCAGGAAGAGTTGCAGGCGTCCGTCACCAGGGGAGCTAGTACAGCCCCGTGTGATGCCATTAGTGAATTCAGCACACCGAAGAAATCCAAAGAAGCAGCATGGCGGCTTGGTAGAGCAGCTTGTCATGGCCATTCAGGATACTACTTTTCCGGCGTGCATCCGTCAGGTGTCGTAGGATTGGCATAGTTATAGGAAGGCGAGGGGTGAGTACAGCCGTACCATGGCATCGCTGGATGCCCTTCAACACCCTCTCCAGAAGCCTCGCATCTACTAAGGGGCCGGCAAACCCATTCTCAAGGTGGGCTTTATGCACCGCACTCGCATACACAGATACAGTTCAGGGCACGCTGATCATAGTTCACGCATGAATGTGTGTCCAGGAACGATGACTCGGGCAGCAAAAGTGAGCTTCCCCAGGAGGGACTCGAGTTGACGCTGGCCGATGCTGCGCTCGCTGATAGTAGCCATGAGTGGCGAACGGATCTCGGACAGCTTGTCCTCTGGTAGCCGCAGTCTAGGAAAATACCAAGGAAGGTCAATGATGGTGATGGCCCTTCGAGCTGGGATGGAGCAAAGAGGAGTGCCGAGATACGTGAATGCCCGGAGGGGGATGGTGAGTTGCTGGTTGGCTGCAGCCAAACCAGTGGAGATATCGAGAAAGTCATCGAGGTAATGAAGCCGGTGATCTATAGCAAACTCGTGCTGCATGATCCAGTTGACTGCTGTGGCTACTGAGTCAAAGACGGCTGGGCTGGAGCGGAGGCCGAAAGGCAGAAAGCGCTCCTAGTAGTAGGAGCCTTCCCAGCGAAGTCCTGACGGCGGACTGGGATCTGCTGAAATGCACTGTGTACGTCGAGCTTGGACAAATACACAGGCTGTGGGCATGACATGATGATGTTGATCGCGTTGTCAATGCTCGCGTAGTGCAGAGAGAGAGCGGCTCGGCAGGAATGCTGTCGTTCGCGCCGGTGCCTTCCGGACTAGACAGATGGTGGATCATTCGCAGCTTGCCGTTCTTTTTGGGGATGGCACCAATACCAGAGCGGCGCATGAACTGAAATGGAGGTGACGGAAATGGGCCTGTGGTCTCGCTGCGGGCGCAGGAAGCAGCTAATTGCTCGGATATAAATGCCGAGTGAGTGAAAGCCAAGGGTAGATTATTAGAGAAAACCGAAATGTCGTGTTGGCCGGCAGATCCAAGAGTAAAGCCACGGCGCAGGCCATGGAGAACATACACAACACATTATTGATATGAGTGGTTACGTAACAGGCGGGCAAAGTGGGCAGCTAGCAGTGTGGTGTCTGCAGAGTGTATAGGAAAGAAGCTACGTACCGAGTCAAGCTATTCAGTAGCCATTCTGCTAGGAGCGGCGGGGTGGCCGATTGGCTCCGCGCTGCTGCTGGTTGCACATGATGCATGGGTGGTCCTTGCCACACTGGCTGCAGGTGTGGGAGAAGCGGCACGACGACGAAGAACAGCGACCTCCATTGAAGTTGCGGCAGATTTCTTGGCCGTCGCTGGTATGGTTGCGACCACTGGAGGTAAATGCTGCTGGCTTGGGGACGAAAAGGACACAAACCGCCCCTGGATGGGCCGTCTTACATTGAGCGCATTTTGGGTGTGCATGGCCTGTGACAGCTATCTGCCATAGGTTCACGTTGATGGTGTCCAACCTCTTCGTGCCTGGTTACTGGGCCACGAGCAGCCGCAGCTGGCGGTCGTACTCTAGCCACGCGCTTGGGAAGAACTGGCGGTTAGCAGTCAGGATCAACTGCTGGTACGCAATCAGTTCAGCAGTTCAGCAGTGCGGTGCAGGGCAGCAGCCGTGATAACAGACATGTATGTGGTCCATGCCTCGAGCCGGGTAGCTACATGTATAATTATCGTGAACCTTGCGACGCACCTGCTTCGCGTACGGTCATCCGACTCAACGATATTTAGATGGCTATCGTTATTCGGGCTGTGAACCAGCCGGAATGTTGGGCCGGAAGTGTGCAAGAATTTCAAGCAACAAACTTGAAAAATCTACGAACTCCCCTCGCAAGATACGTTCTTGCACAGCCTTGGGCACAGCTGGTGCAAGTGGCTGATCGGGTGGGTTACAGGAGCTTGGCCTGGCGTAGTGGCGGCAGCAGCCGCATTGCCTTGGCCTTGGGTGAGGAGCGGTACAATGCTCTCCGATAATAATAAAATGGCGGCCGACAAAGCCGACTACACCTCGTCACGTAGATCTACGGGAGCGCAGAGATCCGTTGAGCCCGCGTCACCTGAGCTGGCGGAGGAGGCATTGGTGCAAGTCGGGCTTCTGGGCTCGCGAGCCGTGTCCGCACTGTCAGTGTCATGTTGCTGGTTCTCCTGGCCGGAGCAGACCTCACTACCAAGGGCTAGTTGTGCCAGCAAACGGCCCTGTAAAATACTTTTACTAAGTTTCCTTTCGGATTCAAGCCGCGCTGAGAAGGCTCGCCGCGGGGGCTTGGCAAGGCATTGCCTTGGCAGTGTCGACAGTTAGGTCAGACATACTGAAGAAATACAGTGTCGAGGTGACACTCGGGCTGGCAGCAAAGCTACGAAAGGAAAAGAAACACTGCTGAAGCACGATCCGTTGTCTGGAAGAGCACAACAGGGCAAGCAAGATTTGTTTTTCTTTTCCGCAAAATGGGCTGGTGCCATTTGTGATTACGCAGCAAAACAAAGCGCATGACGTCAGTCTTGAATGCGGTACAAAGCAATGCAGTGCAGTGTGTGCGCTAGTTTGGATTGTTGCTAACAAGTACTAGCACAGCTAGTACACCATTATTATAACGAGTCACAAATTTAACGATTGTCCAAAATTCACAGGTTAACGAGAGGATAAGTTAATGATCTTGCAGTTTTCGGGCATATCCACACATAAAACATGCCAGGCATTACAGCATGAACAGAAGTTATAACGAAGAAATGCCAGTCGTTAAAACATTAGATTTATTTCCTCATTATATTTACATGTCTTACAGCAACTTACGATAGTGAGGTGTATCTACAAGCTGCAAACAGCCAACACCCCATAAAAGTGAAGCCCACTGATGGGGTGCATTGGCTAGTTGGTTGGTTGGTTTACTTTTGCATACTCAAACAGGATGCCGACCCGATAGTGTGGTGGCGAAGGGTCGGAAGAACTTGACTATTCTTGCATACTCCTTCCTTTCTCTCTATTTATACACCTGTCCTTGTTGTATATGTCCAAACCTTCACTCTTCGCGGTCAAAGCTTTCTGATGTAAAAATGAACAATGGAAGTACTTTCCGGTACACCATGCCAGTGGCCTCTGCTGCCCCCCCCCCCCCTCCCTGCCACCCTAACCCTCTCCCCATCCACCCCTCTCCCTCTAGCCCAAGTTACCTGATTTCTGACAGCTCATGGATGCCGTGAATGGGATTTTTCGGTCTTTGACCACTTTGTGGTGGGTCTGATCTACTCACCTCCCACCGCTTTAGGAGTTGCGTCTTCGCCTTGATCCGTAGAGGATGGTGGCGTTTCTACGAATGCGGAAAACTCAGCCTCCAGCCTAGTTTCGCAAGAATGGTGGTATTATTTCTTCTTCTGACGGCCAACTGTGACTGTGTTGTTGTGTGCAGGTGTTGGCAATCAATCAAGATCCTATGGGTGTGCAGGGCAAGATGGTTCACCAAGAATTCACAAACAGGTGGGGATAGCACGACTCGCACATGCACAAGCATGCACTCACGCACGTACGCACGCACACGCGCACACACACACACACACACACACGCATGCACGCACATGCCCCCCCCCCCCACACACACACCTGCATACACATGCATGCACAGGCAGCCCCCCCCCCCCCCCAGCCATACACACGTGTCCACTGTAATGCTTGCGTAATTTGTAATCGGTTACATCTTGGCTATTGCACAATTGACGACTGATATACTGCATTGAAGAGAGATGCCAGCTTAAAATGACTTTGAAATGTTTTCTCATATTGTCACCTACTTCAGCACCAAGTCACCGAGGGATGTCGTAGCTGTCAAGTGTAGCTCCAGTGTAACACAGGTAACGTGGTGTGTGCTGATCTGTTGCACAGGCCTGTGTGTATGTGTGTGTGTGTGTGTGTGTGTGTGTGTGTGTGCGTGCGTGCATGCATGCGTGCGCGCGCACGTGTGTGTGTGTGTGTGTGTGGTGTGTGTGTGAGAGAGAAATCCATAGCTGCCGGAGATGGCTCTCGTGGTGCCAATTGAACATGGGCCCTCGACCTCTCGGCGGACTGCCGACTTTCCAATGTTGCCGTTGTTCGTCGTTCCATGTTGTCGGCCCCGCAATGGGACACATTACCGTAATGGCAGTGTTTACCAGGTACCAGGTGTGTGTGTGTGTGTGTGTGTCTGTCTGTCTGTGTGTGTGTGTGTGTGTGTGTGTGTGTGCATGCGTGTGTGTGTGTGTGTGTGTGTGTGTGTGTGTGTGTGTGTGTGTGTGTGTGTGTGTGTGTGTGCTTGTGTGGGATTCACTGGCCAGAAAAAAAGCCACTTCAATCAGCTGTGTGGTGTTGACCAGGCTACAGATAGTGGCAGTCAATTCATCAGCCTTGCAAGCTGTTGAATGGCGTAATCCCAGCAAAAGTTGCTATGTCTAACATAGCTGTTCGCTGTCATCGCTTTTGCGATGGGCAGGTCTGGAGTGTCTGCGGTCTGAGGTGTGTGTGTGTGTGTGTGTGTGTGTGTGTGTGTGTGTGTGTGTGTGTGTGTGCATATTGGTGTGTATGTGTGGACTTGCATGTGTGTGCATGTGCGTGTACGTGCATGTGTGTCTGTTCTCATCCTGGTCATGAGCCAGGCCCGAAAAAATGGCGGAACACAATTGATTTGATTCGCAGCGAAGGGACCATTATTGGAGTATTGGAGTTTCTTAAATGTTAAAAAAGAGCATTCTGTTCAGTGGTCACTTAGTCGAAAGATAGGGTCACTATTTGCAAGTTAGAAGAAAGGCATTCGGGCTGACAAGTTCGTTCCTATAATGCTGCACGCCATAATCAGGTCATAGTATGACCTCATGATGGTGAAATGCCGAAACGTTACTAAACCTAACCAAGGGTGTGAAAAAGATGTTCAGTGTTTTGCGGAGTTATGCAAAGGAGCTTGTCTGCTCGAATGCCTATTTTAGCCATGAAACTGCCAGGCGCCGCACCCTTACTTCTATTCACAAGCTATTACCGTATTATCTCTAATATAAGCACAGTCTCCAATAATAGCACGTCTCCAATAATAGAACACCTTGGGGCGGCATTCAAAAAATAAAGTGCTCAGTCTCCATTATAAGCACACTGTGAAGTGCTCTGAAAACCACCCGGGCCTCCAATAATAGGGACTTCAATTGAAAAACCAAATTCGCGAGTTTCGCATAAAACGCTAGTTTTTCTAAACCGGGAAGGTGTGAGAAACAACCTGTGAAAATTTGAACCCAAAATTCCAAGGCAATCTAGAGTTATAGTCGATTGAAGATCGGAAAACGGGGGAGAAAGTAGTCACAGAAGTAAATGCAAGTATGTATGTGAGCCGTGTGGTTTCCGTCCAGCACTGCACTATCTGGTACATACATGGTGATACAGGATGTGTGCATGCATGCAGTGTGCACGCATGCCGTGCGCGCCTACTTGCATAAGTCACACGTTTTCCCCGTCACTGCTTCTACAGCGTGTGCGCAGTTCACTCGATTTTTTTCGTCTACCTCCAGGAAATCGCCGTGGGCTGGTTTCTGTGATCATCTTCCTTCTACCGTGATAAAGCGCGAGCCTCAATGTTCTAGAATCCTCTTGGTTTAGGCTAATTCGAGGCCGCTGAACACGAAAATCGGGTGTTCTTTGTGGGGCCGAGTACGGATCTGGTCGAAATTAGTACTTCGAAGTGCATCCGCGCCAAGCGCGGAGGCATTATTTTTGGAAGCATGGCATGTGTGGCACCATTGGAAAGGTAATGACCTCAGCTACCTAAAAATAGCATCGAGAAGGCCGAAAAGGCCGCGGGAGAAGATACTTGGGCCTCGAACTGCATCTCGAACTGCAGTCACGAGGCGCCCATTCACTTTGTACAGGCGAGCTGTGACTGCACTTTTCGCTTTTCTGTGACCGGAACTGAACTCCCTACCAATAAAGGACACCATACGGTAGTATCTGTACGCACATTGCATGTACATGTTATCATGGTCAGTCGCGCGCGGTGCACCAACCTCTGAAATGAGGTTGAAATAATAATGGAACAGTCTCCAATAAAGGAACGCCTACATTAATAGCACGGGGCGGAGGTACATTGAAAAAATAAAGGACCGTGCTTATATTAGAGATAATACGGTATTATTATACCCAAGTCTGTTCTCCATACTGTTGACATGACATGACACCAGTGTGTGTATGGTGTGTTCTCTACAGCAATGGGTGTATGATAAAACGAACATGACCATCATGAACAAGGGCATTGGTCTGTGTATCGACTGTCATCAGGGACGTGGTCAGGTAGGACTGGTACTATGCTCCCTGTACTGAAAGAGTCTGCTGTCATTGCGTGTTGGTCTTGAGCTTGCAAGGGCATGTGGGCATGTGTGTGTGTGTGGGGGGGGGCATGTGTATGTGTGTGTGGAGGAATGTGTGTGGGTGTGGATGTGTGTGTCTGTGTCTGTCTGTGTGTGTGTGCACGCGGATGTGGCCATGAGCGTGTGTGTGTGCGTGTGTCGGGAGGGGGGGGGGGCATGTCCGTGTGTGTGTGTGCATGTGCATGTGGGCATGTGCGTGTGTGTGTGGGGGGGGGGGTATGTCTGTGGGCATGGTGTGTGTGTGGGGGGGGGGGGCATATATGTGGGCATGGTGTGTGTGGGCGAGGGGGAGGCATGTCTGTGGGCATGTGTGTGGGGGGGGGGGGGGGAGGGGGGGGGGCATATCTCAGGCGCGTAGCACCGCCGTTGGCGGTGGTCCGGCCAGGGGGGGGGGGGGGTCCGGGGGGATCTCCGCCCTGATTTTTTTTGAAATTAGGGTGCCTGATGAGCCTCCGTGGTGTCCACACAAGCAGCAATCAGAAAGGAAAAAGACACACAACTTAGTACGAGAATTCTTTGGAAAAAGCGGAACGCAAAAACAGCGGATCAGCGAAGGCATGCAAGCGAAAAGCGTCCGGGGATGCGCATAACACAGTGTACATGGTCGGAGGCCATACCGGTAGCCATACATGCACGTACACTGGCATGTGTTACGCGTAGGGATCCCTGGTGCAAGCCAGGAAGTCGTACGACTCGCTACGACTCCCTGGTGTAGGCCATGCAGCCTTGCAGGGCCTTCGAAAAAACGTGGTCCGGCGAAAAAGTGGTCCGACCAAAGCCGGACCGGCCGGAGCGGCTGCTACGCCCCTGTGTCTGTGAGGAGGCTGGCCAGGCAACATCAGTGATTTACCTGGATTAGTGTTGTAGCGGGGTAGAAGTCGTGTTCTGCACCGTTTTCTGCACCGTGTGTGTGTGTGTATGTGTGTGTACAACCTGGTGTACAGGTGATGGCTATGCCTTGTGATGGTTCCAGCAAGCAGCAGTGGGTGCTAGATGCTGGTGGGGAGATACACAGTCAGTCAGCCAGCTCTAAAACATGTCTGGATGTGTACAACTACTCTGGACCTGTAGTGCAGATGTTTGACTGTAAAGATGAGTGAGTACTGGGACTGTTATGTTGCAGATACAATTACATACGTATGTACATATGCATGCATGCACACACTCACATGCCCCCCCCCCCCACACACACAAACACTTGTAAACACCCCTCCACACACGCACGCACGCATGTACGCACCCCCCACACATGCACACACGCACACACACGCACACACACACTAGCACATATGTACACATTCTGTGCCTACATCTGTACTGATTATATTTTCAAGGGCATGTTCTATTCCTGCTTCTTTACCCTTTCCATCGGCTTGGGCGAAGCCGCGAAACACTGCAACTCTCGTAGGATATTCTGTGTGTTTGTTTCATCTACCTCTCTCTTGCAATGTTAGGAAAGGCAAGTATGGGAACCAGCAGTTTAACGTGACGACTTCCGGGGAAATTGTACCCAACGTTCCCGGTGACCTCTGCCTAGACCTCGGTGAAGGAACTGCGCAATTATATGTATTTGCTGGTGAGTGATACTACGGCTGCCATCTGGATCGGATTTCTTCAAGCATAAGCCCGATGCTACTCTTTGTGTGTTATTTCCACTGTGGAGTGGGTTGTTGTTGTTGTTTATTTTACTTCGCAGATTCTAATGGGCAAGTTGCCAAATAACAAGAAAGCGAAGGTTGCTAGGTTGCTAGGTTGCTAGGTTGCTAGGTTGCTGGGGGAAGGGGCAGGAGTGAGTTGGGGGGGTGGGGTGGGGGGGGGGGGGACAGGAGTGAGTTGGGTGGTGGGTGGGGAAGTGAGTTGGGTGGTGGGGTTGGGGGGGGAGTGAGTTGGGTGGTGGAGGGGGGGGGGCAGGAGTGATTTGGGTGGTGGTGGTGGGGGGGGGGGGGCAGGAGTGATTTGGGTGGTGGTGGTGGGGGGGGGGGGTGAGTTGGGGGGGGGGGAAGGGGTGCGTTGAGTGGTGGTAGTAATTGGGTTGTGGGCATGAGACGGGTGAACTTGTCAGCCCCGAACTACCTGATTGTATAATATTGTTTCTCCAAGCAGAAGAGGAGGAAGATTGTGTTGTGGCTGTTGTTGTGACGAGCTCTGCACTTGGGCATCTAGCACTCTGATTGGCGAGACTGTAACCCTTCTGTTTTATAGTGGTTCTCTAATCACTCCTTGATTGAGGATTGCAGGCACGTAGCTTGTGTATAGACAGTCTAGTTTGGTGACCACACCAGAAAATGACCGTCATAAGTAGATAGTAGATACAGTACTACTGTTGAAACTACATTATTGAACGTTCTGACACAACAACTACATTATGGCTAGAGAGAGAGCTTGACTCAAGAGAGCGACGCAACGCAACGCAACAACTACATTATGACTAGCGATTATTCGAGGAGAGTTGAGAGAGATTTGAAGAGAGGCAACGCAATATATAGGGCCTGGGTAGCTATGGCAAACATGGGTGCGCAAGTAGCTACCCAGGCCAACGGAACGAAAGGTGAGAATGACGTAGTACGGGCGGAGGTACCTAACACTACAGTAAAACCTGTAACTAAAGACCACCGTGACTAGCGACCACCCCGGTACTACAGAACACTGTGACTAGCGACCACCCCGGTACTACAGACCACTGTGACTAGCGACCACCCCGGTACTACAGACCACCGTGACTAGCGACCACCCCGGTACTACAGACCACTGTGACTAGCGACCACCCCGGTACTACAGACCACCATGACTAGCGACCACCCCGGTACTACAGACCACTGTGACTAGCGACCACCCCGGTACTACAGACCACTGTGACTAGCGACCACCCCGGTACTACAGACCACCGTGACTAGCGACCACCCCGGTACTACAGACCACTGTGACTAGCGACCACCCCGGTACTACAGACCACTGTGACTAGCGACCACCCCGGTACTACAGACCACTGTGACTAGCGACCACCCCGGTACTACAGACCACCGTGACTAGCGACCACCCCGGTACTACAGACCACCATGACTAGCGACCACCCCGGTACTACAGACCACTGTGACTAGCGACCACCCCGGTACTACAGACCACCGTGACTAGCGACCACCCCGGTACTACAGACCACCGTGACTAGCGACCACCCCGGTACTACAGACCACTGTGACTAGCGACCACCCCGGTACTACAGACCACTGTGACTAGCGACCACCCCGGTACTACAGACCACCGTGACTGGCGACCACCCCGGTACTACAGACCACTGTGACTAGCGACCACCCCGGTACTACAGACCACTGTGACTAGCGACCACCCCGGTACTACAGACCACCGTGACTAGCGACCACCCCGGTACTACAGACCACTGTGACTAGCGACCACCCCGGTACTACAGACCACCATGACTAGCGACCACCCCGGTACTACAGACCACTGTGACTAGCGACCACCCCGGTACTACAGACCACTGTGACTAGCGACCATCCCGGTACTACAGACCACTGTGACTAGCGACCACCCCGGTACTACAGACCACTGTGACTAGCGACCACCCCGGTACGGTACTAAAGACCACTGTGACTAGCGACCACCCCGGTACTACAGACCACTGTGACTAGCGACCACCCTGGTACTACAGACCACTGTGACTAGCGACCACCCCGGTACTACAGACCACTGTGACTAGCGACCACCCCGGTACTACAGACCACTGTGACTAGCGACCACCCCGGTACTACAGACCACCATGACTAGCGACCACCCCGGTACTACAGACCACTGTGACTAGCGACCACCCCGGTACTACAGACCACCATGACTAGCGACCACCCCGGTACTACAGACCACTGTGACTAGCGACCACCCCGGTACTACAGACCACTGTGACTAGCGACCACCCCGGTACTACAGACCACTGTGACTAGCGACCATCCCGGTACTACAGACCACTGTGACTAGCAACCACCCCGGTACTACAGACCACCGTGACTAGCGACCACCCCGGTACTACAGACCACTGTGACTAGCGACCACCCCGGTACTACAGACCACTATGACTAGCGACCACCCCGGTACTACAGACCACTGTGACTAGCGACCACCCCGGTACTACAGACCACTGTGACTAGCGACCACCCCGGTACTACAGACCACCGTGACTAGCGACCACCCCGGTACTACAGACCACCATGACTAGCGACCACCCCGGTACTACAGACCACTGTGACTAGCGACCACCCCGGTACTACAGACCACCGTGACTAGCGACCACCCCGGTACTACAGACCACCGTGACTAGCGACCACCCCGGTACTACAGACCACTGTGACTAGCGACCACCCCGGTACTACAGACCACTGTGACTAGCGACCACCCCGGTACTACAGACCACCGTGACTGGCGACCACCCCGGTACTACAGACCACTGTGACTAGCGACCACCCCGGTACTACAGACCACTGTGACTAGCGACCACCCCGGTACTACAGACCACCGTGACTAGCGACCACCCCGGTACTACAGACCACTGTGACTAGCGACCACCCCGGTACTACAGACCACCATGACTAGCGACCACCCCGGTACTACAGACCACTGTGACTAGCGACCACCCCGGTACTACAGACCACTGTGACTAGCGACCATCCCGGTACTACAGACCACTGTGACTAGCGACCACCCCGGTACTACAGACCACTGTGACTAGCGACCACCCCGGTACGGTACTAAAGACCACTGTGACTAGCGACCACCCCGGTACTACAGACCACTGTGACTAGCGACCACCCTGGTACTACAGACCACTGTGACTAGCGACCACCCCGGTACTACAGACCACTGTGACTAGCGACCACCCCGGTACTACAGACCACTGTGACTAGCGACCACCCCGGTACTACAGACCACCATGACTAGCGACCACCCCGGTACTACAGACCACTGTGACTAGCGACCACCCCGGTACTACAGACCACTGTGACTAGCGACCACCCCGGTACTACAGACCACTGTGACTAGCGACCATCCCGGTACTACAGACCACTGTGACTAGCAACCACCCCGGTACTACAGACCACCGTGACTAGCGACCACCCCGGTACTACAGACCACTGTGACTAGCGACCACCCCGGTACTACAGACCACTATGACTAGCGACCACCCCGGTACTACAGACCACTGTGACTAGCGACCACCCCGGTACTACAGACCACTGTGACTAGCGACCACCCCGGTACTACAGACCACCGTGACTAGCGACCACCCCGGTACTACAGACCACTGTGACTAGCGACCACCCCGGTACTACAGACCACTGTGACTAGCGACCACCCCGGTACTACAGACCACTGTGATTAGCGACCACCCCGGTACTACAGACCACCGTGACTAGCGACCACCCCGGTACTACAGACCACCATGACTAGCGACCACCAGCCAAACAACAACAACACCCCGGTACTACAGACCACTGTGACTAGCGACCACCCCGGTACTACAGACCACCGTGACTAGCGACCACCCCGGTACTACAGACCACCGTGACTAGCGACCACCCCGGTACTACAGACCACTGTGACTAGCGACCACCCCGGTACTACAGACCACTGTGACTAGCGACCACCCCCGCACTACAGACCACCGTGACTGGCGACCACCCCGGTACTACAGACCACTGTGACTAGCGACCACCCCGGTACTACAGACCACTGTGACTAGCGACCACCCCGGTACTACAGACCACCGTGACTAGCGACCACCCCGGTACTACAGACCACTGTGACTAGCGACCACCCCGGTACTACAGACCACTGTGGCTAGCGACCACCCCGGTACTACAGAACACTGTGACTAGCGACCACCCCGGTACTACAGACCACTGTGACTAGCGACCACCCCGGTACTACAGACCACCGTGACTAGCGACCACCCCGGTACTACAGACCACTGTGACTAGCGACCACCCCGGTACTACAGACCACCATGACTAGCAACCACCCCGGTACTACAGACCACTGTGACTAGCGACCACCCCGGTACTACAGACCACTGTGACTAGCGACCACCCCGGTACTACAGACCACCGTGACTAGCGACCACCCCGGTACTACAGACCACTGTGACTAGCGACCACCCCGGTACTACAGACCACTGTGACTAGCGACCACCCCGGTACTACAGACCACCATGACTAGCGACCACCCCGGTACTACAGACCACCGTGACTAGCGACCACCCCGGTACTACAGACCACCATGACTAGCGACCACCCCGGTACTACAGACCACTGTGACTAGCGACCACCCCGGTACTACAGACCACCGTGACTAGCGACCACCCCGGTACTACAGACCACCGTGACTAGCGACCACCCCGGTACTACAGACCACTGTGACTAGCGACCACCCCGGTACTACAGACCACTGTGACTAGCGACCACCCCGGTACTACAGACCACCGTGACTGGCGACCACCCCGGTACTACAGACCACTGTGACTAGCGACCACCCCGGTACTACAGACCACTGTGACTAGCGACCACCCCGGTA